CTCCAGAACCAGGGGCCATGAATTTCACTTTTTTGGTTGAGGCCTTATTATAATAATTACAGTCATGCCAACAGTTTGACTGCTTGTTGTCCAGGAGTAAATATTTTTTAAGATAACACTAATTTTAATTATTTTAGCCCCACCCTTTTGGGGATAATAAAATTCACAAGACAGTTTTGTTTTTGTTCCTCTTCACCCATAGATGCTTTATGCCAAAATAGGTTGAAATTGGTTTAGTGGTTTCAGAAATGCTGAAAATGTTCAAATATTACATGTAATGCACAATGACGGATGAAAACAGATAACTAACATCAGAATTTAACAATCCTCAGGTAGTTTTTTAAGTTACCTGAGTCATTCAGGTTATTCCCAGGGCCATAAAAAGAACAGGGCCATGATTAGTCAAATCAATATGGAAGAATCTTACGGTAGTGTAACAAGTTCCTTCAAATCATGCCTCCCAGGGTAACCTGTGACTCAAGTGACCTAAAAAATAACCGAATTTTTAAATTTTGATGATTAAGATCAATAGGGCTATAATTAGTCATATTAATTTTCAAGCATCTTCAGCATACATTTTCAGGTCTGCATGTACATTCAAGTTTCTTCAAATCATGGCCCAATTGGGGTCACAATAGAATACAAAAAAATTTCATGAGAGTACATTTGTACAGGAAGAAATCTTTAAATAGAACATTAGGGCCATGGTTGGTAATATCAATATGGAAGTATACTAACAAAGTTCATTCAAATCATGGCCCATGAGAGGGACCTATAACTGTTGGTTCATCTGATGCTGTACATTTTAGGGTAGACAGACATCTTGGCCTAACGACACCTCGGCCCGTCACGTTTGACACCTCCGCCCTGACAGGTCGGCCCAAGATAATTGACATGTCGGCCCGTATAAAAGACACCTAGGCCAAGGAAAATTTTGAGAAAGAAAGAATTAATCCAGGGTCTGAATTGATATTATTTTAGAAATAACTATTCTTTATAAGGATTAAATGATTTTCTTCACAAAAATCAAATTGAGAAGGGGGTGGTTTTTTTTTTTTTATAGATAATTGGTTCATTTCTATAACTAAATAAATAAAATCAGATAAGTCGATCCTTAATTGGCATCTCTCTCTTGTGGAAAATGCGCAATATATATGTAATACTATGTTTCAACTTACTAGCAATTCTTTCTTACGATTTTATATATTTCTATTATAAGAATCTATATTATCGTATCATTTTGCATTGTTTCTCTGACGATTTGAAACATATGAGATAGGTCAATAATCCGTGAAAGAAATGGATTACATTTAAACTTTTTTTTTGTGCTTGGGAGATGAATGCAAGAATAATCAGATGCATCCTTCATGATTTGTTTGAACCTACGTTTAAAAATTCTGTAAACTGTTTGAAAAAATATTAACTTTCATAAAGGAGAAAATATTCAATGGAAGTAAATGTACTGTCTCACAATTAAGCCTGCTCATAATTAACCCCTCATTGTCACCAGTAGGACATGCACTTGAGACTCCAAAGGTTGCGCCGCGGCATTTTGTTTGCTTATCAGTTAGCACCTTATATAATTATATAAAATATTAACTTTTGTACAGGAGAAAAATGACATACACTTGAAATTTTGCTTGGGCCAAGGTGTCTTATAGATGGGCCGACCTGTCTTAAATCTTGGGCCGACCTGTCTGAGCCGAGATGTCATTGGGCCGAGGTGTTGTTGAGCCGAGGAGTCTGACATTCCATTTTAGCTCTTACTACTTCTCTGCAATAGCTTAGCCAGTTTCAAAAAATTTTGATGTAGCTTCTCTGGATGAAGTGGAATGAAATATATGGAGATAACGAACAGTATTCAAGCTCAAAAGTCCATTAAACAATACAAAATAGGAGCAGAGCAAACACGGACCTCTAAACATCAGAGGTGGGATCAGGTGCCATGGAGGAGTGAGCATCCCCTGCCGACCGGTCACACCCGCCGTGTGCTCCTTGTCATGATCGGGAAATAACGGAAAAATCTGTCGACAATTCAGTGTGTAAATAATGGCCTAACAATTAGTATGAAAAACGTCAGTCAGCATTTGACTCAATGATAGATTGTATTTGCTGACAAGGTCATTGTATCGACCATAGAACTTACGAAATGATGACTTTAAACGAGACAGCTGATATTCTTGTTTCATCAACTTGTTTGTCAATAATTTACCTCGTTTTAGAAATTGTTCATACGTAGAGCATGCTCTTGCGTATCGAACCAACTGAGAGATATATATACTCCGTATCCCGGTGATGAAGGTATATTGCTGCATAAGTAAGGGAAGTTGATGATAGAAAGGTTAAAGTCATCACGTTTATCATAAAGCTTGGTTGTTAGATTACCATTAACGTCTTTTTCAAGTAAAATATCCAAATATGAAACAGATGTGTCAGTCTCTGTGGTATCTTTTATCTCAAGCTCACCAGGATATATCGTATCGACATAAGAATGAAAATAGCCATTGTTAATTGACAATACATCGTCGATATATCTAAATGTCGAGTTGAAGGCCACAGCAAGTGTTTTCTTCTTTTCACGTACAAGATTTTGGACAAATTCTGCTTCATATGAATACAAAAAAAGGTCTGCTAATAACGGGGCGCAATTGGTACCCATGGGAATTCCAATAGATTGTTGGAAGACCTGGTCTCCAAAAACCACATAGATATTGTCAATCAGAAACTCAAGCATCTCTTCAATGTCAACTTCAGAGTACTTGTGTGTACAATCAGAATGTTTTTTAACAAAATAATTTTGCAAACGACCAATGACAAGGTAAGTATATTTACGAGTTCCATTTTTATTGAAAAAGCAGCTGTCAATTATATCAAAAAGCCTCGACTTTAATTTATCGTGGGGAATGGTTGTGTATAAAGTAGAAAAGTCATAAGTTTTTAAGCTGTTGATTTTGGTAAAATCTTGCGATTTCAAATTTTCCAAAAGTTCCTTGGAATTTTTAAGTATCCACATCTGATTTACACCACTTCTTGAATATATTGTTGCACAGTACTCTTGAAGTTTCTCCTTCACCACTGTTAATATCTTAGTGAGGAGTAAAGAAAGAGGCTTGGTTGAACATTTACTGGAACCCACTATGTATCTTTGTTTGTAAGGATTTTTATGAAGTTTCAGAATCCAATATATATGTATGATAATTCAAATTCATTTTGGTTGTTTGGAATATTCAAAATATTCAAAACTGACATATGATTTTGAAGAATTTCTTCCTTAGAAAGGGAACTACGAGTATAAGTTGGATTACCACTTGTAGAATTAAATCCAAGTTCCTCTAAAATACATTTAATATAATGAGCCTTACAAACAAAGACAATGTTGTTACCTGCTTTGTCAGCAGGGACCAGTACGTACTGATCATGTAATCTATCTAATTCTTTTTTCACTTCTGGATTATTGAATACAGAAGGATAGATGGTTCTCATATTGCCCCTCAATCTTTTAATGCGTGATTTTAACATACATCTGATACATTTAACCCATTCTGACAAAGTGTCAAGGTCTTCTTTTTCATGTCTGGCGTAGTCCTCTACAGAATCCATAATATTTATGAAATTCCGACGCCAGTTGAAGGATCGGGGTTCCCTAAATTTAGGACCTTTTAAAATTAGTGATCTAAGGTCCTCATTATTAACTATATTAACGTCACCAGTAATAACGTGTCCAGCAGGACTGTAGTTATAGGGCGAAGAAGAACATGAACACGATGGAGGATTATGTTTCAGATATTCGATATCCAGGCCCTGTAAAGTTTTCTTGTAATTAAAAAGTTTGGAAGCAATAGTCGATGTATATTTGTAGGAAATACAAGGTGTAGTCTTTAACTTGAAATATGGTGGAATACAAGACTGGACCCTTTTGTGATTATGAATATTACTTATATTAACCGCGTCAATTCCTTTGTTGGCATATTGAAGTTTAAGGAAAAAACGGATTGTTTTAGCTGCATTTTCTTCTGTAAAACGCGGGGGTATAAAAAGCCTATGATTTGCAATATCCATAATCACAGATCCGAGCCTATATTCTGGTGTCGAGGAATCAAAAAATGGACTTTCCTTGACCTTTTCAAGAAGACTATTTAAAAGTTTCAAAGGGACAGAGTAAAGTTTGGTGCGAATATGATGTAGACCTAACTGTTGATTTACGTAAGGTAGTAATGAATCAAAAGAGACATCGTGTATTAAAGGTTTATTGTAAGACTGATGCCCATGACTACGCTTACGTCTCTGTGTATGGTTAAAAAGTCCCATCACATTTACATTGCTACACTGTGGACTGGAAAGATTTCCAACACTATCGACATTTTCATTACATCCATAGGGAAAGGCTGTCCCTAGCTTTCTAATCCAAAATTCTTCTCGTTGTCTACGGAAAGGTGTACTCAGTGATGGACTGTTTGTGTGGTGGTAAATCTTTTCTAGAATTCTAACTTTCATGGACAAAATTGAATGATCAGGTAAATTAAAATGTTTGTATAAAAGTTGCTGACCCCCGTTATTTATCTGAAATCTATGACCTGATGTTCTTTTATTGAGTGATCCCTTAGTTTCACCAACATAAACAAGTCCACAAAGATTACATTCTATTCCGTAGACAACATTAGAAGATTTGCAGTTCAGATTTTCCCAAGTTTTGGTACAGAAGCTCTGTCCAGTAAGATTACTGGTGAAAGAAGTGTTAGTTATCAAAATGTCACAGGTTTTACAGAGAACAAAGAACAAAGAAGTGAATTTTATGGGATGGGGCCAAACCATTAAATTCATGCAATCCTCAAAGACCATCCTTTATATATATACCCTTTGGGTGTCTAGCAAGCACTTATCCTTGTTCAAAAATTGTGAAATACATGGGGATATGTTGGACATATTTTTTGATGAAGGTTATCAGAGAAATAAAGCTGACTTGTTTAAGTACGTACAATAAGGATTTATTAACAACAAAATATTAATCACTGATCAAATTTTATGAACCTGTTCTATTAATTTTCAGACATGGAAATAAATCCATCTTTTATCTGCAAGTTTACCTCAGCATCTTTAACACACTGACAATGAAAGTCTGTAATTTCATGAAAATATGGTCATTTTGTTGTCCTTGTAAAGAAATGATTGTCATTTTGAAATGGTAGTGAAGTCCGGACACTGATTTGTTGAATTCCTGGATCTGTACCAGCATACAAGCCTGCACCCTCAGCTGCAATTTAAAACAAATCAAAGCTAGTCAAATTTTTATGAACTTTCAACACAAATCTATATCTAATTGATAACTGTTACAATACATAAGTTACTTGACCATACCGTCTTGAATGATTCCATCTTTTTGTATTGTGTAATTGAAGACAGTAAATGGAGCAACAGGAGATTTGGCCACCATAACCTGAAACATTTATACACAATATTACAGTGTACACGTACATCAGATTGGATTGTCTCTCAGCCAACCATTATCACAGTAGGTTTATTATTGTATCACATTAAGGACCTTAAGTGTCAGGAAAAGTGAAAAGAATGACGTACGTGGCAAATCTACAAAACCTCTAGTTTGTCACATAGTTGTAGATAAAACATAGCATTTATCAATGGCTTTAACAATGTGCTCTAAACATAGACCATAAATATTATTCAAGTACTTTAGCATGTGCTATATATGTCTAACACTCATAAACAATTATTGAAGTATTTCAATGAAGTACTCTATACATGTAAAGGACATAAATGATGATTCAAAGCAGGTATTCAAACGTGTCATAAAATATCAATCCACCACTTACAAGTTGGGGTTATCAGATGGTAACTTCCTTAAGTTTGTTTATGGAATGTTGATAAAAATTACACTGCTTGCAATACGTGACATTTCTTAGATCATCAGTAATACTTCAACAAGTGTAGTTAAACTAGATTAATCAAAGACCATAGCATTGTAGTATAATTTAAAATTCCCTGATGGTACTGTTTTTATTTAAGAGGGGGGTTGGGATTGGGTTGAATCCATATTTCTCTATCTGACAGAGTCATTCATTTTGATTTAAATTAAAACTAGAACATCACAGCACTTCCACTGAGCCATAAAGACAATCACTTACTTGTCTTTTATTATCGTTAAGATACTGCAGAATTAAGCGGGTATTGACATTATGACTCCAAGTGTTACCAAGAGCAACCGTTACATATCCCTCAGAGAATTCTGTCGATTCCTCATCTATAACGTAAAGTCACAAACCAATCAGCATGACAAGTGTTTGGAAAAGGTTATAATTTTACATCCTATTACAGATTTTGAAATAAAGTTTTATAAGAATTTTTCCTTCCCATATCTAAATGGTGAATTGTCTTGTGTATGTATTACACTGATCATTATGAATTGTCTTGGGTATGTATTACATTGATTAGTATGAGTTGTTTTGGGTATATATTACATTGATCATTATGAATTGTCTTGGATATGTATTACCTTGATCACTTGCTTGACGACTAAATCGTGTAGTTATCTGATTTGTCACAATTACCTACAAATCAAATTCTGCATTAGTTTTAAAGCATGAGAGCATATGTTCCTTCACAAACATTCAATGTTTGTAATATGTAACTAAACACCTTTGTATGAATTAACATTCTGTTTTCTCTTTGTTTATTGAAAGTGTTATACAATAGCACTGTAAATCACATTTTATTCCCATGAACTTTGTTAACATTTATTTATATTGGACTGTTGTCTTGGTATGAAAATAAATTTCAAGTCAATAACAACACAAAGCAAAACAAATTGTTACATAGGGATACATGTACACGAAAACTAGATTTTAGTGGATACTGACCATCTTAAAGGGCACCACTTTAAGTAACTCATATATAAAGAAGACTTGCAGGATTGTCATTCGAGACAACTTTTTATCCTTGCTTGGAATTTAAAAAAAAGAAGAATTTGTTAATTTTAATCTTTTGTAATAAGGACATCCCCCCCCCAAAAAAAGATGGAGATGTTACTTGGTTAATAACTACCAGAATTATGTACCTGAAAATCCCCCCCCCCCCCCCCCCCCCCCCCCCCCCCCCCACACACACACACACAGAGTTTACCCAAAAATTTGTTTGGACTTTTAATCTTTGACTTGACTTGATTCAAATGCTGCACATCCTTTATCAAAATGTAATTTATGGGTGAGGTCTTGTCCAAAGGCAGGAATGATATACCCTACAAAAAGATTTGCTTCAACTTTACCTTAAAACTTGGTTCCATGTCACTGTACTTTTACCCAAGGTTAACTTTTGGATGAAGTATGAGCTAGACTGAACCATGGGAAGAAAAATCGGTAACATATTCTGGACAAGGGTTTTATGCAAACTTGTTTTGACCTTGAATTTCTATCAAGAAACTTAGACAAAGTTAACTTAAAATATAAGCAAAACTGCTCCAAAGGTAAAAATTCATACTTTAGACAGAGATTTTTATAGAAAGACCTGTTTTGACTTTGACCTCTGACCCAGGTGTTTGATTCAGGATTACTGTACACCCCTAGCCCACGGGCACTCATTAGGTGAAGCCAGATATTTCAGGTTTAGCTACATACTGGCCCAAAAGTAGAGTACTCAAGCTATGGACAAAGATTTTACACAGAGACCTGTTTTAACCTTGTAAAGACTTGAATTAAGGTCACTGTACAGAAATAACCAAGGCACTCTGAGTAAAGTTTGAGCCAAATTTCAGTAATCTTTATATTTATATCTGTGATATCAAAGTGATTTCTGGACTTACTGGAATACAGAACACCTCTGCTACATATTTGAGAAGGGCAGCCTGTCGAGACAAGAAGTTGGTTCTCTGGACTAAACTGGTGCCCGCACCACTACTGAACTCTTTTCTCACCAAGGATGCTATGGAATCAACAATTATAAGTCTGATTTTGTGAGCAATCACTTCCTCTTCAAGAGTCTCTAACCTATAATACAAGACTCACACTGGGCATATGACAAAGATGAATGTATTGTATTCTAAATACTGCTTTGAAATTAAAAACTACAGTTGAACTTTGGTATCTCAAATACCAATATCTCAAATTACAAAATCTCAAAGTCCCAACCACTTATTCTTTAAAGGATTTTTATCACGTCTTAAAATTTTTTGTTATGACAAAGTTTACATGTTATTAAAATCATATATTTAAAATTCTTTGCTAGAAAATTAATATTTTTGATGTTTCAGCAATTCAAAGTTTGAACTTCTCAATATGCATGTTTTGATTGCCTATATTATGGGCCATTGCTCTGATGTCATAGGTGTCAATCCTGGTCAAGCAAAGTACTTACTGAGTATACAAAAGGGCTCATTTGTTGCATCTATTAAACCTGCTAGAAAATTATTAAGTGATAATTGGATAATTGACAGCTAGTAAGGTATAATTTGTGGCTTCAGGATGCACAAATATGCACAAGAAAAGTTTTAGGAAGATTTTTTTTTCACATTTCCTGGACTTGGTTGAGAGATGAAAGGGGGGCCTTTTTCTGCAAATGCGAGGGCGTTTGTCTCCATTCAGAACAATCCTTTATGTCTGATCACGCTTTTTTCTGTACTTTAAAATATTTTAAGGAAAAGATGCCTTTTTTTAAAAAAAAAAATAAATGACCAACATGCAATTTCTAAAAGTTGAACAGAATCTAGTAGGAATGTTGTGAACTTCGTAATGGCGTACTGTGCCATTGAACATGTTGAAGAAGTGTCATTTCTGGTATATGATATTCACTGCTGGAACAGATAGAAGATATACAGGATTTATTTATATATAAATAATTGAAAAAATGAAGAAGGTGAATTCAAAATTCCCATATTTATAAATATTTACAAAGTTTAACTTTAGTAATTCGTTCTATTTACCATTAGTCCCTAGTTGTCAACGGCTTCGTCTTCGGTGACCTCTCCAATTGTCGGCATATTTTCTGATTATTTCTCTCTGCTAGACGTTCATACATATAAGATTGACTGTCCATAACCAAAGGAATATGGTTGATGTCAAAATTTCAACCAGCCACACTGTGTAGTCTATTTATTTAACATAAAAATCTATTCAATATATTTTTTCTTACGATAAGCTTTATAAGGTCTAATTGACCATTGACACCTATGACGTTTCAGTACCACGTGACCCTCATCTAATTAGTGGAGATTTTTACTTTGAGGACCCTATAATATGGGCGTTTTATTGTCTAATTAAGACCGTTTTCAAAATAATTTCACAATTAAACGATAATTATATGTTTCAAGAATATAATAGTGTGTCATTTTAAAGAAATTTAGATAAAAACCCTTTAAGTATTTTACCCTCGATATCTTGAATCCTCAGATATCTCAAGTTTTTTTTTGGTCTCATCGAGTTCAAGATAACGAGGTTTGACTACAGCAGGTTTCTTTATTTTTAAACTACAGCTATAATGCCCTGTCCTTTTCCCCAAGATATACTCCATATTACTCAGTGTACTTGATAAAGTGACCTTGAAACAAGATCATAACCTATCTATATTTTTTTAAAATAACAGAGAAATTATTAAATTTATTAAAATATATATTGCCTCATATATTACATTAATGACATGATTTTAATATCTCATAATGACTGAGAGCTTTGAATATATGACCATCAGTCAAAATCATGTCTCTGTAACAGGCAATTCTGTATAGCTTAAGACAACTACAGAAGATTTCAAAATCTCATTTGACCAGACCCTTTGACTTCTGAGACATGGCCCCTAGTTAATGGTCATGACTTGAGGTCAAAAGCAAAAATTAAAGTCTAAATTTATTTCAATCAAGGATTCTGAAGTTTTACCCCACAGATTTGTGACAAAACGTAACCATGGCAACCAGGAGACCTAATTTGTGTGATTAACACAATTATTATACAAGGTTTGAGGAGGGAGTGTGTGATGACCAACTCACTTTTTGATGAGGGAAGCACAAGTCTGGTGGTTATCCACTAGGACTTTCTGAGCCATATCGCACAGCTCGTCGTCACTGTTGTACAAATCAGGATACTTGTTTTGAGCTATTTCTACCAGTCTGTAACAATCAATGTATGTGTATAAGAATAAAAGCATATATTATCAATACCTCACCAACTTAATTATTTAATATATTATTAATGAAATGAGAAAAAAATGGACACAAATCAGGTTACAATAACCTACATGAATGACTGATACCAAGTACATGTGGTAGAGAGTACGTGTGCCAGTAGTTTATGTTTAACATTTACACAAGTGATAAATTTATCATCATTTTCAGGTAAAAATGGTAACTGTTATCATAAAATATATACAGGTTATTTTCATGGGGTGTATGGAGTCATCAATGTATAATCAATATAATATATACAAGACAGTGTCAAAATGGATTTTGTTTCAAGTAAAATGTGAAAACAACATGACAGAATGTCAGTATTTATATACCTTTCTGCACTAAATGCTGACTCTGTATCTATATAGAGGACTTTCCCCCCCAGACCTCCCCTGTTCCTTGGTAAGGTGGCCAGTACACTCAGCATTGTACAGAACTGCGTTTTACCACAGCCTGAGGGTCCAGCTATCTACAATAGAGGACTCAAAATTCATTTCATTATCCAATAAAAATTAGCTATCTACAAATAAAGGACTCAAAATTCATGTCATTATCCAATAAAAATCAGTTATCTACAATAAAGGACTCAAAATTCATATCATTATCCAATAAAAATCAGTTATCTACAATAAAGGACTCAAAATTCATGTCATTATCCAATAAAAATCAGTTATCTACAATAAAGGACTCAAAATTCATGTCATTATCCAATAAAAATCAGTTATCTACAATAAAGGACTCAAAATTCATGTCATTATCCAATAAAAATCAGCTATCTACAATAGAGGACTCAAAATTCATGTCATTATCCAATAAAAATCATCATGTGTGCTGCTCAACAGAGATTTAAGTTTTCATTAGGAAAAATATACTGTAAGCGCACCTTATTTTTAGTTAATTCAAAATTTAGTAAATCTGAAAGTCTTGGATTAATTAGAGAAATTATGACTAATAATCAGCGTACCCCTGTATAAATTTTATATTTCAACAGTGGTCATCAATTATTGCAACATACACAGGACATAAGATGCTAAAATATGAATCCAGCTAAAATTATGTCAATTATCATGGCCTTAATTTTTTTGAGATGAAGATTTTTACACATTTTTCCAAGGATATTCCTATGTAATAATATAATATATTTTAATGTAAAACTTTGATTTCCTGTTGTGGCCCTACCCTACCCCTTGGGGCCATGATTTAAGGAAATTTAAATCTGCACTACCTGAAGATGATTGCTTATTAATATCAACTATCATGGTCCTACTTTTCTTAAGATAATATGAAGAAACTTGAATCTACACTATATTCGGAAACTTTCAATTAAGTTCTACATTTCTGGCCCATTGGTACTTGAGAAGAAGAATTTTAAACGGCCCCATCAAATTTTTACTATTTCTAAATTATCTCCCTTGAAAAAAGGTAGTGCCCTTCATGAGAAAAATTTGAATCCCCTTCACCCAAGGCTGCTTTGTAGCAAATTTGCTTGAATTTGACCCAGTGGTTCTGAAGAAGTCGAAAACATGAAAATTTTCCAGATGACATTGACAGACGTATGCCAGACACTCTTTGATCAGAAAAAGCTCACATGAGCCATTGGTTCAGGTAAGCTTAAACTCTGAATGACTGCTCTCTTACTTCAGTGACTGTTCCCATGGGCACTCCTCCATGTAAAACAAAGTCTAGGTCACACAAGCTTGTTGGGAAAAATTGTACATTTTCTTTCTTTTTCTTTTCAAGCAACTCTAGGCTCTGTAACAATAAAAAGTATCAATACATGTATTAAGTAAGCATGGGTCTCCTGGGCCTTGATGGTCACCGGGTAATTTGAGGATTTCCACATAAGCCCTTACACATGTTCATCTTTGTTACAAACTTAAACCATATACAAAAGCATTCTTTTTCCTCTCCAGTGACTTTGGCCTTGTTAAAATGAGTCAATGTCAAGTTGATAAACTTCACCTTCTTTTCCTCAAGTGACTTTGACCTTGCCTAAGTAACCCCACATTACTGTGATAGACCCATGGTAACATGTAGCATTTGCATTAAGAACATGAAGAATGGAGCCTGTAACATTTTTCTTTTTCTTGAAGTCTTTACCCAGTAAAAGTCTGTGACTACTAGATAACAGATATGGCAAATCACAGAATATATAGACCTATGATTTCAAATTAGATGGGGGGGGGGGGGGGTAATTGGAAATTACTGTAATGTGAAAAGCATTAATAAGACAAGTTACAAATTTGCAGGTAAAGATAATTTTAGTAGAGCCTGAACTCTAGGCCCAGAAGTCTTGAATTTCATAAAAAAGCTTATTGGCATTATGAAAATGGCTTTGCAAGTAGGGAAATTTGTTTGAATTATGGTGATTTGGTGCTTGTGTCCCTATGATAAGCCCCCATTTGCAGAGGCAATGAACTGTACCAATTCTAATTATTGCCAAAATTTCTGAAACTGGTTCAGCCATTTCAAAAAAGAAGCTGAACATGCTAATTCAGAGAATTTGTGTCCCCCATTTAAAGAAAAAAGAAGATGGGAGAACTGGAATAATTCTGCAGATGGAAAAAGAAAACAAGAGGTCCATGGGCTACATCGCTCACCTGAGCACATTGGCTAGGCAAAAGCACAAATCAGTTCAGTATTGAAAAGATTACTGGGGGGGGGGGGGGCTTAAATTTTAAACTACCTGATGATGCTTCCATGTCAATATAACAAATGGCTTTATTGTACTTGAGAAGATTTTTTAAAAAAAAATCCCATATATTCCTTTGTAAAAATTTGATCCCCCATTGTGGCTTCTCCCTATCCCAGGGGTCATCATTTGAACAAACTTGAATCTACACTACCTGAGGATGGTTCCATATCAATATGACTAAACATACCAGTAGCTATTCTGTTCTTGAGTAGAAATATTTTTTCTGTATGTTCTTATGTAAAACTTTCGATCCACCATTGGGCCCCACCCTACCCCATGGGGTCATGATTTGAACAAACTTGAATCTACACTACCTGAGGATGCTTCCATATAAATATGACTCATCATGGCTTTGCTGTTCTTGAGAAGAAGATTTTTAAAGATTTTTCCTATATATTTCTATGTAAAACTTTGATCCTCCATTGTGGCCCTGCCCTTCCCCCGGGGGTCATGATTTGAACAAATCTGAATCTACATTACCTGAGGATGCTTCCACATGTGTTTCATCTTTCCTGGCCCTGTGGTTTTTGAGAAGAAGATTTTTAAAAGATGCTATTAATTTTTCACTAATTCTTTATTATCTCCCCTTGAAAGAGGGTGTGGCCCTTCAATTGAACAAACTTGAATCCCCTTCACCCAAGGATACTTTGTGGCTAGTTTGGTTGAAATTGGCCCAGTGGTTCTTGAGAAGAAGTCGGAAATGTTAAAAGTTTACAGACAGACGGACGCCGGACAAAAAGTGATCAGAAAAGCTCACTTGAGCCTTCGGCTTAGGTGAGCTAAAAAAAGGTCAACCTTGACATTTTAGCTTTCAGCTTAAAAATCAATAGCTTTTCATTTTTAAAGTTAAAGAAATTCATGACCAAAAGTTTCATTACTAAAGCTTACCAAAAACCTAAAATTATTATCTGAGAACTATATGTGCAATAAGTATTTCTGATCTTGACCTTAATATGGTTTTTTTAAGGCCATGGGGAGTTGTGATATAAAATTTCATTACAAAAACTCAGAGGCTTTTAAAGATAATTATATAGATGGGGGAAAAAAGTTACACAGACAGAATGTATGAATTTATGACCTTGACCTCTGATCTTTTGACCTCAAAATTTATAGGGTTCTTTTTTTTTAGGTCATAGGGAGTTGCGATACTAAATTCTATCAAAGAAAGCTCAACGAAAACTAAAGATATCAATTGGAAAATGTTATTTGCAATGTATGAATTTATTTATGACCTTTGACTTCAAAATCAAAAGGGGTCTCCTTTAGACCATAAGGTATTGTGATATAAAATTTCATTGCAAAGCTCAAAAATGTTTTAAGATATTGTCTGGAAATGAAAGTGTTACACAAACAGAATGTATGAATTTAAGACTTTGACTTTTTGACCTTCAATCAATAGTGGTCTTCTTTAGGCCATAGGGAGTTGTGGTATAAAATTTCATTGCAAAGCTCAAAAATGTTTTAAGATATCATCCAGAAATGAAAGTGTTACACACAAACACAATGTATGAATTTATAAATGATCTTGACCTTTTAAGCTGAAATTCAATAGGGGTCTTCTTTAGGCCATATGAAGTTGTGGTAAAAAATTTCATTGCAAAAGCTCAAAGACTTCTTGAGATATCATCTGGAAATGAAAGTGTTACAGAAAGAATGACAGACGGATAGATAGACAGCTAGACAGATGGACACACAAATCAATATACCGGTACCTCACTTTCAATGATATTGCACACAATAATCTTCAATTTTATTTTGTAACAGTTCTAAACTTGATGGATTCTTACTGTTAAACACTGTGGAACACAGGCCAGTGAACACTGCTTCTGTAAGTGATGTATTGTGAAGATTCCAACTCCAAGTATCTTAAGCAACTCTAGGTCTGACTTTGATAAGACATCCTGAAATAAAATTGAACAGCAAGTACATATGATTTCACCCTCTTATATATATGCAGGTTATACGTTTAAATTGAAAACAACTTTGATTTCAAAAAGAATACATTTTCAGTACTCAAACTGAAATTTAATAGATACTAATTATAGCAGATGTGAGATATAATTTGTGGCAGTTGAAGAAAGACTAGTCATCAGAAGTGTCATAATGCCACGAATAGGGAATTCGTGGTGCAGGCAGCCCAAATTTCAACGTAGACACGATAACGATAAGAAATTGTGAATTTTTAAATCTTTTATATTATCAATAATTGGGATCATGGGATGCAATTGTCCTTTTTGTGGCCAGTCTGCATTTATTCATTTGAAACAACTTTACTGGTCCCCAGAAAAAAGAACTAAAATATAGTGTGGCCATAGGCAACTCCAATATATATACAAGATTGCCTGAGTGATCTAAAAAAAATTATAAGGTTTGGGCATTTTTTGAAACGGACTCCAAAATGAAAATCTACAATGAAAAGTTTAATTAAAACTTCATTTTTAACGAAGTTTTTAATCCTGTTCTTTAAAAATATTTAATAAATATTACTGTGTATTCAGTGAAAATTTAACAAATATAATTGTCACTGAAGAACATGCCATGTATGCATAGTATTGTTTCTTTCATACTTAGACATTTTTGATGTAAACAAATATGTTGATGCTGAAAGTTCTTGCAAAAATAAATGGATCTGTTGGGTCTTTAATGAAATGATTGATTCAACTGAATGTGATAATAACTTTAAAGATTGTATCGCTAATAACCAGAAGTCCCTGTTGAGACTGTAGCTCTACTGGTTTGTACTTATAACAAAGGAAGAGAAAAGTAGCACTTGGACTTGAAACGGAACAAAGGTTATAGGAAATGTTTTGATGTGGAAATAGTGTCGTGAAAGAATGTGTTAGGAATACACGATCAGTAATATTTTGAGAATGCAGTTTAAAAATACAGAGAAATAAACTGAGAAACAGTGCACTTTTCTGTGTGCAATAATTTATATACTTATTTTCAATGGGTGGCACTGTAGCTCTCTGGTCGTCCATCCCGATTTTTTCAGACCAGAGAGCTCCAGACCTGCAGCTATCCACTGAAAAGCATTCATCATGTTCATGCCGTGATCATGTATATACCAAATCATTCTGTTTATCCTGTATACTAGTGGTGTTCCAATCATTGATTATAATCGAAAATCAGTCGATTGCTTACATAATCAAAGCGCTCGATTACAAAACTTTTATTCTTATTTATTTATTTTTTATTTTAAAAGCGCAATAGTTTTTAAGCCAAATATTCCAGCCGCGAATTGTCTGTTAATTAACTTATTTGTGTATCGTAATGGCGCAGACGAACAGAATTGTATTCATAAGCATGTACCAACGCTCATTCCCAGTATGGATGTACTTTGGATTCTACAAAATGAACAATGAACCAGCTGGACTAGATGGAACGTTCTGTCGTTTAAATGATATATTGTCCTATGGACTAGGGCGTGTCCCGAGACACAGTTAGAATGTTCTAACTACAGCTGGACCACCTATTAACACCCATTCTTACCATTTAATTAACTAAATTGACAGATTTTGAAAATGTCCGATTATAATTGATAATTAGTTAGTTACAGTAGCCCGATCATCGATTATGACATTCTTACCGATTCCCATCACTACTGTATACAATATGAATATACACCTGTGCTAGAGACTCATCAGGTGTTCCAGAAGATACCACTCGTTAATCAACAGTAATCTGGTCTAGTTAGTACATGTACCTTGCATGTGTTTACATTATTTTTTGCCAGTCTTTCAATAATGTCACCTGACAGACATCGTATTCGGCGCAATTTTTTTGAAGACATCCAACAACACTCAACACGTCAATAGTGTCAAAACAGTGATGAATGACAGTGATACATCGAATTGAGAAGTTGAATATGGCGCTTACTAAATAGGAAGTAAATTGTGAACTGAAATGGACGAATTTTCAGTCGGCTCATGATTATCCGGATAAATGGGCATAGGTGAATCATAATATTTTTATGCATATTGTTTCTGTCCTGTCGAAATGTTTTTTTTTTTTAATTATAAGAATAGATATAACATTTTACAGCACAAATTTTATTGAGAATTTGAAATGATGGATTAGAACTGAAGCAGCTCAATGCATCAAAATTGATTTCGCCGGCAAAGAGAAAAATAAATGATTATTAAAATTAACCTTAGAATAAGTTTTTATAGAAATGAATCAGACATAACATGTTGAAAAATAGAACAGAGTTTATCCAGTTTTGTACTACTATCTGGCGATATATTAACGTTATATGAAGAGAGAGAGAGAGAGAGAGAGAGAGAGAGAAAGAATGGGGGGGATATAACGGAAAGGATGAGATACATATAACAGTTAGGCCTAGCTTATTTATCAACTCGGATTTTATCTTTTTTTTTAATTCAATTTTTAATTAGGGAACTCAAACATGATGTTGGACACACGATATTTATAAACGTTTATGCTCATGATTATTTCCCGGATTTATCTCCCTTACCCCGTACCGTTCAAACCATTATCGATCGCATGCCGTTTCCTAACAGCAGCGTAAACTAAGCCATGTGCAGTGGTCACGTAACTAGACACAGAGAGGTTCACTCGTCTACCTGTAATAGTAAGAAACGTTTACAGATCGAGGCATGCGTTAAATACCCTTCGATCAGCTGTTGTTAGCCGTGTGCCGTGTAATGTTCGTAAAACCTTTAACATCTATTGACAAAACAGTTTTGGGATTACCTATTGTTTTGATTATTGTACGTAGGAAATTCTTCACGCTCCCTTGGGGAATTTAAAATTGGACATGTGATTTAGTTATAAAGATGCGGCATTTGTGTAGTTCGGTATTTATTGCGCCACACATATTTGTAATGGTTACTAATTAAACATGGGTGATTAATATTCTAAAGTATTCCCTGGAAATATTGTAACTGTGCTCATTCAAACTAAGATGCCAGGTGGATCAGATAGTGTTAAAGTAGCAGTGCGTGTGAGACCATTTAATCAGGTAAACGCTTAATATTCAATTACCTTCATATACCCTCATCAGTTGCAGATTTTATGTAATATTCTTATCAGTTCAGAGCAAATCAAAATGTTACCATGTCTTTGGCACCATATGAATACGCTGACAAGAACCAGGGATTTATTTTTTTGACAATGTCAGTTTGTCAGTTTAACCTCTACACAGAACCAGGAAGGTAATTGATAACAAAGTAAGATAAGTAATAATATAGGTATTCTTTACAGGCATAAACCATGACTTTTGTTACAAATATTGTTAAAAAACCTATTTGCTATCTTATAATTCCATCATATTTAACATTCAACAAGTTAGAACCCTTACGTATACTTTATCTCTCAACTTTCCAAATTAAATTCACACACAGAAGGCCATGAGTGTCTTCAATAAACATGAAAGAGGAATTCTATAATAAATCTAAGCCTGATTAAAATTTCTGGTATTTGAAATGTTAACAAAAGAAGATAAGGCATTTCTATTCAAAAGTCATAGGTGAACTTGAATTGCATTGTTGATATTTTTTATGGACATTTCTCGAAATTTTTTCAAGAGAAAATCAATAGTGTACAAGTATCGATAAGCAATGATATGTGCAAAATCTCTCACTTTTAATCTTTTGCCATTGAAAATACTACCTGAACTAGAAATAGGCCAAACTTGCATATATCTTGTATCTACTTTAGAGCAAGGGTATATAAAACAAGAATGCATTGGCAGATCTAGAGGGGGTTATGGGGTTGCACCTCCCCTTTTATTTTTTGCCAAGTGGAGAGAAAGAGTTTTCTGGAATAGATATTTTTACATCTAGTACATTTTGAATATAAATGTAGTTCCAAATAGGTCCATTGGCAGAAATTTCTCCTCATATTCCACTTGCTATAGATAGAGTCTCACATATTTCCTTTCCTCCATTCACCTTCTATATTCCTCCTATTTAGCATTTTTATTTATGAGTGAGCTCATGAATGGTAGAATATATTCTCCTTAATACTTATTTCAATATTTGATAAGTAACATGCAAGTTCAATTTGATATCAGATTCTGGCAATCTTTGGCTATATATATATCATTTTCAGATCATCTTTTGAAGGAACTAATTTAAATATCATAAAAGGGAGTATGCATAAGGCCTATAGTAAATTAATTCCTTGTTTTATGTCCCCTGGCGGGGAGGTTTTCAAGAAAATCCAGTTGATAAACAATTACAAGTTTGTCAATTTCTCAACAATTTTTCTCTGCATTTTATGGAAATATTGTAAATAAATTCAATTTTAGGGCTACAGCAGTTTTTGGAATGTGTTTGATATTTGGTTGGGAGGGTACCTTTTTGAAGAAATAAGGGACATAAAACAAAGATATTATTTACCACAGCCTAAGATGATTTTTTTTCTCCCTATGTGTGTGAATTTATATTTGAGTATGTGTGTGTGTATGGGGGAGGGGTGGGGGCTCCACCCTGGAACCACCCATTCAAATGTTGCTGGATCCACCCCAGGAATATTAATAAAAATTATTAATGACTTAGGTATACTGAAAGTGTACTCCTAGAATAAATACCATTCAAAAACATAATACATGACAAAAGGATTATGAAGTAGGTATAATCCCTGAACAAATATTTATATAACAACGTAATAGAGGTACATACTCACCTGGGATTTACCTGTTAAGGTGCCTTATTGTTTTTACAGCTAAGATTACACATCAGTATCATATATGCAAAAAGTAATTGTGCACCCACTGTGTAAATTCCAACTGAATCACAGGCTGGGATTAACGTTAATGAATTTGTTAAACAAGTTAAACGGGGCCAGTTAAACGTGTGGTATTTGTTGAACCAAAGAATTAATACTACATAATCATAATGTAATTATTAGGTACTAGTACATGTATCTGTTTTTTTAAAGCAAATATTATGGTTTTTATTTCAGTATGTTTATGAGATTAAGTCAGCAAACCTTAAATTTATCTTTTTGAATAAGTAGAGATCATTTAAATGCATATTTCAAAGAGTTAAAATACAAATACACAGTTAATTGCAATGATTTAATATTATGTTCTTATTATTCTTACACCAAAAAATCAAGACTAAGTGAACATCATGTTAAAGAAAAAGGAAATTCAAATGAATAAATAAACATGGATTTTATCTACAGAGAGAGAGGAATGCAGGGTCAGCTTGTATCATATCTATGAGTGGAGATTCCACAACAATAAAAAACCCAGAGAATGGTTCCACAAAAACATTTTCCTTTGATTATTCCTACTGGTCACACAATGGAAGCCAGGAGAACGAGGAAGGCGTGTTTATTCCAGACTCCTCCAACAAGTATACAGATCAAGTAAGGCACGCTAGTGTACAGGTCAAGTAAGGCACACAAGTATACACATCAAGTAAGGCACACAAGTATACACATCAAATAAGGCACACAAGTATTCACATCAAGTAAGGCACACAAGTATTCACATCAAGTAAGGCATGCAGGTATACACAATAAGGAAGGCAAACAAGTATACACCTCAAGTAAGACATAAAAGTATACACAACAAGTAAGGCACACAAGTATACCCATCAAGCAAGGCACACAAGTATACACTTGAAGGAAGGCACATAAGTATACTACACATAATGTAAGGCACAAAGACACTTCAAGTAAGGCACACAAGCATACACATCAAGAAAGACACACAAGTATACACATCAAGTAAGGCATGCAAGTACTTATACATGTAATACTTTAAAAATGGAGTCTTAATAGAAAAACTGGAAATTGTTGATTTGCTACCTTATATTAAGTTCCCACTTTACTTTGTAATTCTTAAATTTCAGCGTCGAGTTTTCCAGGACTTGGGTCAAGGGGTTTTGGACAATGCATGGCAAGGTTACAATGCTGCCTTGTTTGCGTATGGTCAGACAGGGTCAGGGAAGAGCTACTCAATGATTGGGTATGGTCCAAACAAGGGGATTGTTCCCATCACCTGCGAGGAGTTATTTAAGGCCATAGAAACAAACAATGACAAGACAAAACAGTTACAGGTAGGGGGCATAGGCCAGCATTTGACACTGCTCCAGTAAAAACTGTTTTATTTTGTGTAGCTTTTTTTGTATATAAATGGAGTTTGGAAACAAATATTCTAGGCTTTCATGTATTAAGCATTACTTGATAAGGTTGAAAATGATCATTGAGTTAAATTACTTGCACATTACAGGCCTTGGTGTAAATACAAGATTGATTTCTTTCACAGTATTGATTCTGTGTTTACGATTTCCTGTTTAGGAGTTATTTTTAAACTATGTACATCAAAGGTGCCTTTAAGGGAATGTGAGATTCAGCCATGTTAAAATCTAAACAAATTGATATTCTAGCCCACTTGTGAAAAAGAGGTTTCCATGGAGGTAGATTTTACTGACTGCAACAAATGTATTGTTTTGTTGTGCGTGTTTCAATCTCATTGTCTTCAATGAAGAAAACTTCTACTTTTATATTGAATTTACCCTGATAAGTGTATACATATTGCATGAATTGAATGAAAATACATGTATCTCCATTAGCATTCTTGTTTAATTAACATTAAGACTGCATGAGATTAGATAAATTTGTATAGTTTCCATCTCTTTAATAGAGATTTTCCTTCAAACCAAAAGCACACATTGAATTGTGAATCAATGGCTTTCAATTAACACAGATTAAATTAGGAATGGAAGGACAGAAAATCTCTTAAGCATACAGTGTATGATTGCCATCTGTCAGACCCTCTTTGACTTTGGAATGAATCTTTATTTTTTGTCGTGTGAAATTTTGGGAAAAGTTTGAACTTTGTAGTGTGTTGAATTTGACAATGGTTCACATTGCAAAAAAAATATAACAAAATTAATGTAGCATTTCCATGTTTGGCAACTCAAAATTTATTTGTAATCATTCCAGATCAAAATCAAATACTACATAAATTATTTACATTTGATATGCATTTCAATTATGAAGTGTGTTTGAAAGTTCCAGCATTTATAATACCGTAACACAGACAGCGAAATCAAAAGGTTAAAGAAAATGAACTAATGAATTTATTTTGACATCACAGCTGTTGAAAGCCATACAGATGCAACTTCACAAGCGAAAAAACAAAATTCATACAAACATTGAATATAACTAACAGCTCTAAAAAGACTTCATGAATTTAGCTATATAAGTACGGTGTGTATTATTTAAAGAGGCATAATTTATTCAATTCAAAGAAGTAATAATTTATCATTTTACTATGAAATTGATAAATGTAAATATATAAGGTTTGAACTCTAAATTTTTTATCATGGCATAACATGAAAGGATGTGCAGACAACTTATCATATTGCATAATGCGATATATGCACGATGTATGTAAGAAATTTACAATTCAATGCCTAAAAATACTAAAAACGGTACAGAAGTTGGACTTTTTCCAGATCTTTTCGATGATTCTACCACTAGTAGTTAAAACCTATTTAGGATCTTCCATTTATGTTGCATGTTGTTCTCCTACACATTAAGTTTATAATGATTAGTACCATTATAAGACAGGTAATGGCTTTGGTATATAATCACTCAGAGAAACTTATTACAGGTGATAGCATCAATGTATATCTGGCAAAAAAAAGTTTATTACATGAAACAAAACTAGGTTTTTTCCATTTCAGATAAGAACACCCCCCCCCCCTCCCCCAATTTAAGAATATACATAAGATAGACTGATTATGAGATCATTCTTGCTTAAACCACAATGAGATTAAGTTGCATCCATGGTGCATGTATTTATAAGCATACCAATTGTAGATAGATAACCATTCATCCCCTTGTTCTTTCTTTTAAGTTAATTCTTGTCCATTTGGGGGGGGGGGGGACTCATTCTTATAGGAATTTTAATATTTTTACCAGGATATGTTTTATTTGATGTTTTCATTGAATGTGAAATATCCATAGCACCACATCTTAGAACGTTTTGGTCCTGGCAAACAGGTTAGCTATTTAGGCCCATTAGGAAACGTTCAACCCAGAACATGTTAGCCATGAGGCCCTTGATGTATTTTTCACTCATATCTATAGTGACTAATTGGTTTGGCACACAATGACAAACTTAACAGAATGAGACAGCTCTACAAATGGAGAGTGAGAGCCAGGTGATCATATATAGTGATTGTGCTGCAATGTAGATAAAGAACTGAAAAAAAATGTTCAAGATTTTTTTTTTTTTATTAAGGCAACAAAAACATGTATATAGATAATATGTAGACTATTGCATTGATCCCAGGATGAAGTCCTGTGTATAAATCAATAATAAAAAAAGAATAACCTGGTAAATCAAAGACTATTGGACATCATTTATCACATAACACTTAGAGACTAAGATTAATGAATGGTTCAGAAGAATTTCAATTTACTTCGTTTCCAGAAGAGAGACAAACTTTCAATCAATATGTCATTTTTTTTTCAGGTAAATATTTGAATTCCTGTTTAACAGTTAAATTGTATCTATACTCTATTTAAATCATTTTCAATTGATGCCCGTGTTAAGCTTGCCAGATGAATATCTGTATCATAATTACATGCCATAAAGGTGACTCCATTGTCCAAAAACAAAACCAAAAAAATTATTTTTCTTGTATCATCGTATCATGCTTATATAGAAGCATTGCTTCAGGAATTATATTTGTAAGAAGTAATCAAGCTAGCATTTTATTTATCATCTTCCATTGAAAATAAACATTCTTATTGTGTATATACATTATAGAGTACAACACTGGTAATTAACTTATAATCACAAATTGTATAGAAATTAATAGTTATATCTCAGTTATTGAGTAACTTTATTACTTAATCTGTAGGTTTCCTTCAGCATGCTGGAAATCTACAACGAGAGAGTTAAGGACCTGTTAGTGAAGGCCAAACAATCACCGGAGGGTCTGAAAATCAGACAGAATCCACAGGCAGGCTTCTATGTGGATGGGCTCAAAGTAAGTCAGCCTCTACAGGCATACCGTAGAGGGGGAAAATAACTTGTGATAATTTTTTTGGTATATTTATGTAAATTAATGAAATTGGGAATTCAAGAAACAGAAAATGATTTATCTGTACATGTTAAAAACATATTTTATATGGATTCAAACACTCGCAAAAAGGTATCTGTACTGTTGGTTTTGTAAGGCTTTGGATGGGGATATACTTGTTCTTAGAGAGAGAAAAACCTATATACTACAGCTGTACCGCCTTTTACACTAAACTAAGTTTTCCTCCTAAATGTATTCTGATAATTAAATACTCTGAAATATATTACTGTTAAATGCCTCTTACTGAAACAAGAAAATGAACTACTTATATATTAATTTCAACTTGTAATAAAGCAAAATGTCTTACAATATTAAATGTTTTGTTAAGAATGTGCCAGTGAGGAATTATAAAGAGATAGAGAAACTAATGGAGCAAGGTACAGTCAACCGAACCACAGCCTCCACAAACATGAACGCCACCAGCAGCAGGTCACACATGGTCATCACCATTAGGTTTAACCAGGTAATATACCATCACCAATGTCACTGGTATGTGACACATGGTCATCACCATCAGGTTTAACCAGGTAATGTACCACCACCACCAATGTCACTGATATGTCACATATCATCACCATCAGGTTAAACCAGGAAATATACCACCATCACCATCAATGTCACTGATATGTCACACATGGTCATCACCATCAGGTTTAACCAGGTAATATATCAACACCACCACCACCATCAATATCACTGGTATGTCACACATGGTCATCACCTTCAGGTTTAACCAGGTAATATATCACCACCACCACCAATGTCATTGATATGTCACACATGGTCATCACCTTCAGGTTTAACCAGGTAATATATCACCACCATCACCACCACCAATGTCACTGATATGTCACACAGGGTCATCACCATCAGGTTTAACCTAGTAATAGACCACCACCATCACCACCACCAATGTCACTGGTATGTCACACAGGGTCATCACCATCAGGTTTAACCAGGTAATATATCACCGCCACCACCAACATCAATATCACTGGTATGTCACACATGGTCATCACCATCAGCTTTAACCAGGTAATATATCACCACCACCACCAATGTCATTGATATGTCACACATGGTCATCACCATCAGGTTTAACCAGGTATTTCAATGCCACCATCACCACCACCAATGTCACTGATATGTCACACATAGTCTCACCATCAGGTTTAACCAGGTAATGTACCATCACCACCACCAATGTCACTGATATGTCACACATGGACATCACCATCAGGTTTAACCAGGTAATTCACCGCCACCATCACCACCATTAATATCACTGATATGTCACACATGGTCATCACCTTCAGCTTTAACCAGGTAATTCACCACTACCACCATCAATGTCACTGATATGTCACACATGGTCATCACCATCAGGTTTAACCAGGTAATATACCACCACCATCACCACCACCAATGTCACTGATATGTCACACATGGACATCACCATCAGGTTTAACCAGGTAATTCACCGCCACCATCACCACCATCAATATCACTGATATGTCACACATGGTCATCACCATCAGCTTTGACCAGGTAATTCACCACCACCACCAATGTCACTGATATGTCACACATGGTCATCACCATCAGGTTTAACCAGGTAATTCACTGCCACCATCACCACCATCAATATCACTGAAATGTCACACATGGTCATCACCATCAGGTTTAACCAGGTAATAGACCACCACCACCAATGTCACTGATATGTCACACATGGTCATCACCATCAGCTTTAACCAGGTAATTCACCACCACCATCACCACCATCAATGTCACTGGTATGTGACACATGGACATCACCATCAGATTTAACCAGATAATCTGGTAATACACTACCATCATCACTAACAATATCATTGACCGGTCACACGTGTTCATCAACATTAGGTTGAATCAGGTTTTTTACCCCTGTACAACATCATCAATATCAATGACAAATGTGATTGAAATCTTTGAAATGCTCCATTATTCCGACAGTCGCTGTGCAGCAACTATCAGAATTTCAGAGTGTATCAAAGATCTGATTTTATTCAGATTTTATCAACGACATTTAAGTTATACATGGTCATCATCAATAATTTAATCAGTTAATTTGCTACAATTACCACTAGCACAGTCATCATCACCACCACATCACCATCTTCACCAATAAGATTTTATGTAAATTATGCAGGATTCTCAACAATTCAAACCATGTAGTTCAGAACCATCTACACCGTCATCATGACTGAGTTTTAGTTTAGTTAATTAGTCAAGCCAAAATATTGGTACATTATAACATATATACAGTAAAACATGCTTATAGTGAACATTCTTAATATATTATAATAATGAATTGACACTTGCAACAAAGTGATTTTCAGTCCCCTTGACTTCTAAAAGATATTGTGAATCTGACAGTTATAACAAATTACACTTATAACAAAGTAAAATCATTCATCCCTGGCACATCGTTATAAGCATGTTTTATTGAATACTTTATAATACAAATTAGTCAGAGGTACAATATATAAAAGAAACATGACAGAAAGTGAATAGAAAGATATAATCCTCATCAGTAACATGTAATTAAACATTATTATCAACAAGTTCAATCATTCACAACCACCACCACCATTATCACCATCATTTCCTCCTCCAGACAGGCAGCATTCATAAAATCCTGACTATGTCTGGGTTCTGTGAGTATTGTTCTTGACAGGGTAGTTGTCCTTAGCTGTGAGGTCAGGCCCATGCAAGCTGCTCAACAATAGTAGAATTTGCAGAACAGTAATGATACTGTTCAGAATTGGTTAAGTGCTATACTGTAGCACAAAAGATTGATTACAGATGCAATATTTGTGTAAAATGTCTATCAAGGTGCCACTATGCATTTCTAATTCAGTATTGATCTTGAATGAATCTTAGGACTGGTAACTAAGACACTGTATGAAAACATTTTATATGATTATGTTTGCACACCGTGGTCTGATATAAATTATGTAATACATTGTTCTGAGAGCAAAATAAATGTTGAGGATCGAGTTATAGAAAAAATGTGCAAGATATATAAAGCTGCTCAGAAACAAAGGAATATTGAACCTGCATGTAAAATTAGTGTTCATAATTGTGTAAAACTTTATGTTAAAATGAAAAAAAATCACTTCTACATATTGTAAATATTTTTAGATGAAATGTATCTTTCTACACCTTTATTAAGATAAATCATCAGAATTTATAACCAACGTACACACCTGTGCTCATCCTCTGTTCCCCCTATGCAGGTATCTACTCTAGCCTGTAGGGGGGGGTTTACACATTACGACTAAGCTAAGTGTTTAAGTATTGGATTAGTGGTGTCGCGAGTAAACAATGTAATGGTTATGAAGTAGACTGAAGAGGTTTTACTGTGACAGTTTAATCGTTGTGTAATCATCCCAGACTGAGTCCGTATCTATTCATTTGCACTAAGTGCAATGATTGTTCATACTTTGAGGACTCTATATCCACTTTACTATAGGTTAGATTGACCATCTTCCAAGAGAAATAGACTAATCATTTATCTGATTGGAAAAAATACTGATAGTTTAATAAGATTGACTGTTGAAATATAAGGAATGTTTTTAAGTTTTGTGTGAGTTATTAGTGTGTAAATCACACAGACTTGTCACATAGGCCTATTTCATGAAGCACCAATGATCCTGCGAGTTAAAGATTTTCAATAGATTCTTATTTTTCAAAAGCGATTAGATATACATTAGAATTATTTTATAAAATTTACAATCTTTTGAGGTTATATTGAATAGATAGTAACGGAATTCTTTGTATTGGCAGAGTAGGGATATGCGCAGTTGCTATTCAAGGTCACTATTACCAAAAGAATTTTTTTAAATGTGTTGAGTTGAATGAAAGTTGCTTTGTGTGAACTGCCAAGTTATGCATCAGATTTTAAAGATTTAGGCCACACCTAGGAATACTTTATAGTTGGGGGAATAGTTGTTAATACGACTCAAACAATGCACATCAAAGGCACTTAATCCGAGAGGCGATTAGCAATTTAAAAAATCCATAGCTAGTGCAGTGCATGTAGACATGTAGGTGCATTGTGTAAATATATACACTTGTCACTTGATTGCCATAAAAAGTTAGTAAATTTTAAATCATTGAAAGTAATCATTAAGCATTTCATTAATTCTAAAATACCTCAACTTTATCACAGAAATGAGAGAATTATAGGGCTGGTTTGAGATAGGTTTGTTTGTATTGGATATAAGTAGAACAGGGTCTGCTAATAAATGTTTCAAGGAAATCATTTAAATCATCATGGTACCAGTTGATTGGGAAAAAAAAATCTATTCAAAACAGACTGGAAACATTTTCTAAGTTAAAAAAGCAAAGTACATTATAATCTACAGGAGATATGCTAGGAAAATATTAATTAAAAATCAGCAGACAGAGAAAGAAAATTTGTCAACAACATCTACATTACAATTATATTATTTTACTTTCCATATAGATAAATAAGATGGAATTCTTTACATAAATGAACAAAAGTTAATGCAACTCTGTGTATTAAGTTGAAAACAAAACTAAATGCTGATTTGCCTGTGTGGTTGATTGTGTTTTATTGCTATTTGTTTAGTTATTCAGGAATCAATTTGAGCCAGAACTTCGTCAGACATGGCCAGTCTGGATTTCCTTCCTGTTAATAGTCCATGGAATGTTGGACCTTTAATTAAATGCCAGACGTGCTCTCAGATACAATTTATACAAACTGAAATTAAAGTTGACCCCAAGGTCATGCAGTGCAAAAAGTCATCTGAACATACAGTGAATATCTGAACAAGTATTTATCACTGCTATTAAGGGGAAAGGTACATGTATTTGTCAATTTGAGAAAGAAGTAGGTACGGTTTTGGCTTTATTTTGCCCTAAAAATTTGATGTCTTCAAAAAGTTTTGAAATTGACGTAATAAATAGTTGAATATATGAATATGATAAATCAGAAAAGAATATGGCATAAGGGGGGAAGACCTGAATGTGGAAATATGGCATCATTAAATTGTAACATTTCTCTAACTTTTAAATAGAAAAAGCCTCAAAATGACTCATGAAAGGGGCTATTTTTCTTATGAAAATTAAAGTTAATGAAAATTAAAGTTAACAGATACTCCCTATAGATAGCAAGAATGAATAAACCTTTCTGATGCTGAATTGATCTGCCAAAGATTCTCTAAATCATAGTTAAAATCCATGTTTATAATTTTCAATCTCACAATCACTTAGTTTTTATGTCTCGCAGCTCCTCAGTCATGATATAATACATGTCACAGCCAACACAATGTCTTACAAAATGACAGGGAAAAAGAAAATAACCAAAGAAAATGTAATAAACAGAAAATTTCAATATTTTGTAGTTGGAATTATAGTTTATATCATGCATGAGAAAGGATTTTTTTTAAATTTTAACTCATGAAAATATTTTTAAAAAATCCTGTTCTGCTTGTAAAATAAATTTCATACAGAAAGCACATAGAAATTCCCAATACATTAGGATACCCATTTCCACCCCAACCAGGTGTTGAACTTTCAATCTCCTGTACCTGTTTCCTAGCTAGCAGTGCAGGAACAGTGAGCTAAACTGCTTGACCAATTAGGCAAGTTAAAATGTACTTTTGATGGTGATGGAATTCTCACAGCACTGCCCTACACTATACGGTCAATGAGAATGGAAGTGGGCTACAGCTACTTTTGACATTAGTTTTATAAGAGCATGTGCTACATTTGTGTATTTATTTCTGTTTTTTAATGATGTGCTGTACAGTTATTACTGTGTATATTACTATAGGTGATAAGAAATGCTGGGGGTGAGAGCAACACTAGGAGTAGTGACATTAACTTGGTGGACTTAGCAGGAAGTGAGAGAGCCGACTCAACTGGTGCCACAGGGGATCGGTTAAAAGAGGGATCTGCCATCAACCAGAGTCTCTCAACACTTGGCAATGTCATCAGGTACATTACAAAAATTGTGTAATGTTTATATTGGGCTATGTCATCAGTACAACACTAAACATTACAAAATCTGGGCAATGTCATCAGTTACGATAACAAACATTACAAAAAAACTGGTTGATGTTAGATAAAATGAACATTACGATATTGGGTATTGTTATCAGGTACAACACTAAATACATGTATTACAAAAACTTGGTAATGTTTCATAGCACAAACATTACAATATTGGGCAATGTTATCATTACAACACTTCACATTATTAAAGCTGAGCAGTTACAGATATAACACCTCACATAACAAAAACTGGGCAGTTATACAGATACAACACTTCACATAACGATATAAGGCAGTTACAGATACCACACTTCACATTGCTAAAACTGGGCAGTCACAGATACAACACTTCACATTGCAAAAACTGGGCAGTTACATATACAACACTTCACATAACAAAAACTGGGCAGTTGTGGATACAATACTTCACATTACAATATTGGGCAGCTAGCATCTTCAGGTATTACACATTACTGTAACAAAATCTGGGCAGCTACAGATACAACACTTCAAATTACAATACTGGGAAATGTCTTCAGGTATAACACATTACTGTAACAAAATCTGGGCAGCTACATATACAACACTTCACATTAGTTAGAGATACAACATCACAAAGTACAAAAACAGGGGCAGTGTTGTTGGTTTTGACATTGTACTGTAAAATACTGTACACTACAATACATAGAAAACTCCGAACCATGTCATTAAGTATTACACTGCATACCACACCATATGTTACAACAATGGGCAATGCAATCTGGTATAACAAACTATAACACTGGGCAAATACATATGTCAGTGATGTGCAGGGTAACTATGATAAGTTCAGCAATTTTAAAACATTTCCTGTGATTATTATGATTTCATTCATCAGTACCACTAGAATCAGTCACCCGCGTGGCGCAGTGGTAAGAGCGTTCGCTCTAGAGTCACGAAGTAAGGAGTTGATCCTTATGTCGCGGGTTTGAATCCCACTGTGGGACATTGAGACCGGTCCTTCGGATGAGACCATATAAATTGAGGTCCCGTGTTGCAGAAGGTGCTGGCACAAAAAAGATCCCTCACTGCTCAATGGCCCTGAGTGCCGAGTATAGGTAAAAATTTGCAGCCCTCCACCAGCAAGTGGTGGCATCTCCATATGAGTGAAAAACTCTCGAGAGGGGCGTTAAACAACAAACAACAAACAAAGTACCACTAGAATCACCTCATATTAATTTATGGATTTTGATTTTAGAGAATATGTCAATTATATACATTAAATCTTGGTTTTAGTGCATTGGCAGACATTGCTGGAGGCAAGAAGAATGTTTTGGTTCCTTATCGTAACTCTGTCCTCACCAAACTGTTACAGACGGCACTTGGAGGCAACAGTCGAACCATCATGGTAAATCTAAATCATTTCCCAAAGAAAGTCATTATTACAGTAAATCACTTTTTTACTTTGCTGAATAATTAAGCATGTTTTAAGTTAAAGACTCATTCAAAATATATTTCTTAAAACTATTTATATAAATTAGGTGAAAGTATGTGAAGTATTGTATCATGAGTCCTTATGATACATTATAGGAAGTGCCAGAAAAGAATTACACTTGTTCCATATACAGGCAGTTTGGCTCTTTAAAAAGCAGGATCTGAGTTGTTTAGACTGAAGTAAATTATTGTTAATGCTGCAAATGACTGCAATGGCTTTCATAAGAATTAAGGAGAAAATGTCTAATGGAAGCAAATATGACTAAAAATAATGCTTACAAAAATTAACAATTGAGGTTTTAAATTATCCTGTTTCTCTTGAAGTTTAACTGTAATGGGTATATTTCACTATATTTTATAGTTTCTAAATAGGAGTCATTTTTATAAATGAAAAGATACTTGACAGCAAAATAATGTTGTTTGAAATAAAAAGATGGTAGTCAAGGCATAGTAGCAACAGCAAAAGAAATGAGTTCAATTTTAGAAATTAATCATTATCAATGTAAATGAAAGGAATTTACAGCTATTAAAAAATTGATCTGGCACAGTGTGTTGAAACTCAGTATGCAGTATGGTGAATATCTGCATAATTAACCTATGTGGTTTAAAGATGTTAAATAAGTCAACAATTGGAAAAAAAGAAATGCAAAGTGGACTTTAAAAGGAAAAAAAAAGATCAACCATGTCTATTACTGCAGTGATTTGACTTGCCAGACAATTACATCAGTGTTTGCTGATATTTTCTTGATAACTCTGTAATTTGCTGCTTAATTTTATGTCGAGCTCTAAAAAATACAAAACTACGTGTTCCGTTAAGGAGATTACTGATTCACACTCCTTGACAAGATTAAAAACCTCACGTTTATTTTTTTAAAGTTCAAGACAAATTTTACTAGCATTGAATTTCAAAATTCAGATTTCAAAATTTCATGATATATTGATGCAGGGTATTATGTAGAACTATGAAAAAAAGATAATAAACATAATCATTGAGTTTGATTATTAAACTAAACACGCACAGTTAATTTAGGGGTAGAGTCAGACTGTCACATTATGAAGCAGCTAAGAAACCCTGTAGTCTACACTCTATAATTGATGTTGAATCAAGAAAGCTATGCATTATTCATAACAATTGATCTCCAAGTAATTCATCATTAGTAAGACTGCTTGTCTGTTGTCATGCAAACCTTACCCAGACTTTTGCTTATGCTAGCTGTTAATTTCACGAGTACAAAATATGTCGACTTGTGAGTGCCAGAATCTTATGAGAGCAAAATTATGAATAAAAGCTTGATGTTGACAGTTTATTTACTAATGTTAACATGATGGCATTGAGCAATACCCTTGCAACCCAAGATCTGATAAACTGCGACTCAAACATGTTTATTGATCTCCAACAGAATATTACTGATATATGATACGGTAACTTTGCATTTGATCTTGTGACAGTTTTTAGTTGACAACACAAACTCGAATATAATTATTAATTCCAACAACTATTGCTCTAAAATGCAAAATTAACATATTTCACATTACAACAGGGTATCATTTCTCTTGAAAACTATGGTCCATTTAATACCCAGCATGAATTTTAAATTTATCTCTCCCTTGAGAAAATATGCCAATTCATAATGTGTTCATATATATGAAATATAAATATCCACTGCATTATTGTATTGAATATTTTATTTGTTTAACTATCATAAATGAGATTTGTTGATATTTAGATAGCAGCATTGAGTCCAGCAGACATTAATTATGATGAAACGCTTTCTACACTGCGATATGCTGACAGGTAAGGCCGGAAGAGTTACCTCCCTGTAACAGCAATGAGACTTAATATGTCTTACAGAGAATAACAATTGGCATAGTTGGATATAATTGCACAAGATCATTTATTATATTGTAACATTTTGAACATCAAGTCTAGATTGCTAGGCAAGAGTAACCTGAACCTGAAAAACATATGTAAAATACATGCATCATACTTTAAAAGTCACTTAAAATACATATTTATTTTAACTTCACACAATTCCATACATTAAGCAAAAAGTAGTAAAGGATGAGGAGGAATATTTGAAATGTGGCATTTATTCTTCAGGGCCAAGAAGATTCAGAATAAAGCTGTAGTAAATGAGAGTCCCACAGACAGACTGATCCGTGAACTGAAGGAGGAAAATGCTAAGCTGCTGGCTGCTCTCGGAAAAGGAGGAGGGAAAACAGCGGACTCAGAGGGTACGCAGGGATAATGAATTTATTTTTCTTATATTATCTTGTACTATTGATCAGAATGTAATGAAACACTTTTTTATGATTATTATCCAATGTGAAGTATAAAAAGAGTGCTCAAAAAGGGGGTTGGGGGATTGGGTGGAAGTGGGGGATGTGGGCAGCAAACTAGGAGGGTACATAGAGTTAATTTATTGGTAAATGCCAGAGTTGTTTTTTCAAATATTATTTTATACTAAGGATCTGTTTACCTTGATAACATATATTTTAGCTCACCTGAGCCAATGCCTCAAATAAATGAGCTTTTTTAATCCAAATGTCTAGCATCTGTCTGTGTGTCATCTGTAAACTTTTCATATTCTCAAATTCTTGTCCAGATACACTGTGCCAATTTTATCCAAACTTGGCACAAAGTACTCCTGGGTAAAAGGGATTCAAGTTTTTTTTTTTCAATTGAAGAGTAATGCCCTCTTTTAAGGGAAGATAATTAAGAATTAGGGAAAATTTGGTGGCACCTTTTAAAAATTTTAAGATATATGTATAAAAGATCTTAAAATAATCTTAAGAGATGTCTTAAGAAATCTTATCTTAATCTTAATCTTAAAAAAGGCAGAAGGAAAGGGTCACTTAAAATCCTCTTTTCTTTTCAAGAACCACTTGGGCCAGAAAAGATGAGACATGTGTGGAGGCTTCCTGACAAATTGTAGATTCAAGTTTTTTCAATTTATTGTCCCCGGAGACAGGTTGGGACCACAATAGGAGATCAAAATTTTAAATAGGAATATATTGGAAAAAATCTTTATAAATAATCTTCCTCTCAAGAACAAGAAGGCCATGATAATTGATATTAATATTCAAGCATTCTCAGGTAGGGCAGATTCAAGTTTGTTCAAATCATGGCCCAGTAGGGTAGGGTGGAGCCCACAATTAAATGACCAGTATGACAGGGCCAGTATGACTCAAGTGAGTGTTTTGGCCCATGGACCTTTGTAACAATTATTATGCATTAACTCTAAAACATATACAAAGAATACTACATTAATTTGTGTCTATTTTTATTAAGAATTACAGAGACTTTTGCAGGAGAATGAATCCAGGATGGCAGATATGAACAAGTCATGGGAGCAAAAACTAGAGGAGGCCAGGTAAGACGGAATTACATGTCTCTAACAAGGATGGTCAAGGTTTAATCTCGTATGACCCTAACAAGGATGGGCAAGGTCAAATCACACATGACCCACAAAAGGATGGACAAGGTCTGATCATGTATGACCCTTACAAGGGTGGGCAAGGTCTAATCATGTATGACCCTAACAAGGATGGTCAAGGTCAAATCACATATGACCCTAACAAGGATCAACAAATTATGTCAAATCACAAATGAGCTTAGCAAGGTTAGAAAAGATCAAATTACATACCTGTATGACCCTAACAAGGATGGACATAGTCAAATCACACATGATCTTAACAAGGATGGACAAGGTCAAATTATGTATGACCCCAACAAGGATGGACAAGGTCATATTAAGTATGACCCTAACAAGGATGGACAAGGTCAAATCATGTATGTCCCTAACAAGGATGGACAATGTCAAATCATTTATGACCCTAACAAGGATGGACAATGTCAAATCATGTATGAACCTAACAAGGATGGGTAAGATTAATTTCCTACAACATTAACAAGGATGGACAAGGTCAAGTCATTTAATCTTAATAAAGATGGAAAGAAAAATCACATTAATCCTAAGATGGGTGGACAAGGTCAAAACATATAACAATGACATTGATTTATGAATCCTTAACTCATATCCTGGAATATTTGGCAAGACTGAGAAGGATAGGTGAATTCAAGCTAGAGGTTTTGCTATTTTTTCTTTAGAAATTAATCTTTCAATACAACTAGTTTCTTTCATTAAAAAATTAATCTTTGTACAGAAAAGAGTGGGAGAGAGGACATGGGATCAGTCTGGAACATGAGGAGGAGCATGCAGAATGGAGGACAGTTCCTTACTTCACCAACATCAATGAGGACTCGCAGCTCTCAGGAGTCGTCAAACTTTGTATACGTGTCGGTAAGTGTCAAACTCTGTATAGGTGTCGGTAAGTGTCAAACTCTGTATACGTGTCGGTAAGTGTCAAACTCTGTATACGTGTCGGTAAGTGTCAAACTCTGTATAGGTGTCGGTAAGTGTCAAACTCTGTATACGTGTCGGTAAGTGTCAAACTCTGTATACGTGTCGGTAAGTGTCAAACTCTGTATAATCGTCGGTAAGTGTCAAACTTTGTATACGTGTCGGTAAGTATCAAACTCTGTATACGTATCAGTAAGTGTCAAACTCTGTATACGTGTGAATAAGTGTCAAACTTTGTATATGTGTCAGTAAGTGTCAAACTTTGTATACGTGTCAGTAAGTGTCAAACTTTGTATATGTGTCAGTTTGTGTAGTTCTTTATGTGTAGTAAGTGACTGTCTATTGCTTTACAAATGGAACTGTATATGATCCTTGTATTTTACTTTCATAGCTATAACAAAGTTGTGAAGGAAATTGTATATTTGCCAGTGTTTTCTGTGTAGTGGTATTGAGAATGTTTATAATTTTTATGTAGGTGAAACAACATTTGGAAGAAGTGCCACAGCAACACACTCTATCAGGGGACTAGGGTAACTTATTCACTATTGAGCCTATTAGATCTTGGTTAAAATATGATAATTTACATATCTCAGCAAGAAAAAAAGAAACTCCTATAGAAAATAAAGCCATTTTTTTTGGGGGGGGGGGGGGGGATTCAAAGTTTATCTTAATATTGTATGTGTGGCATAAACAAAGTATTGCTTTAGTGAGTTGGTGCAGTTGAGAATGGTTTTGTTGGATATATAAGACCCCTCACACAGATGATCAATATTTAGAACTACATGTACATGTATTCAAAACTTTATGAAATTTTTATCCATTTCAGAATTCAGGATCAGCATGCCATAATTAAAAACACAGGGTCAAAGGTCACACTGGAACCTGTTAATGGATCTAAGATTTATGTCAATGGAATCAAGCTTAAATCTAAAGAGGAGCTGCCTCATCTGGTAAGAGGCAGGATTTATTACTTTAACATGAATTCATGTACAAAAGTACAAAAACAATATTTTTGTGCAGTGAACATATAAACAATACTCTTACTTACAACTACATTGCTGTTTCTCTGGATGTTTTTTTTTTATTTTCATTTTTTCTTTTTCAAGCAAGTAATATTCTAATGTACTAACCATTATTTTGCTTAAAAATTAATTTACCAGCACTGTTTAACACATGTCTTTGAGTCAAAATGGAGAGTTGCTAAAAAAAAAAGTGACAAAATTTTAATTGAGACCCGTTTGGTTGAATTGTTTAAACTTAATGTACCTGTACCAACATGTATCCTACCCTGCTCAAAAATTAAGGCAAATTTAGGTCTGTGATTAACTTTCTGGAACAATCGTGAATTCATTCATTTATTACTTTTGTCCCTGTCATGGGTGACATATTCAATGTCTTTTCTTCAAACTTTTCATGGAGGTAAATGATACATTTTTAGCATTGTCTGTAGGGTTGACATTGACCTTGCCCTTGACATTGGTAGATGAAAAAAATAATCAGTATACTCCTTAAACCAATCATAAAATTAATATTCTTCACATCATCTTTAGCGATTATATATATATTTTTTTTTTTTACAGAGCAGGATCAAATTTGGATCTAGTTGTCTGTACTTGTATGTGGGTCAAATGAAAGAAAGAAAACCAAATGAAGAGAAAGGCTACGATTATGACTTCTTCATGGCTGAGTTAGCAGAACACAGAGGCGTGGCCCTAGATTTACAAACACCACGCATCAGTGAATCCATGGAGAATCTGAAGTCGTATGTCATATTTCAGGACTTTATGGACCTACTTCCTCAAATATCGGAAGCCAATGCCATTAGTCTAGAATTAAAAAAGGTTTGACTCAGTACATTGTTTTGTCCATTATTATGCACGTGTTAGAACAGCTTGCTATCAAATTGCTGATCAAATTTCTCTTAAGATTTCTTTAAAATTGTGGGGAAAAGTTTCAGTGTTTAATTAAAGGAATTTGGTCAGATAAGTAGATGAGCTTATTATGTCCAAAAGTATTTCAAAAATTTTCAGGGCAAAACATTGCTCATTTGTGAGGCAAAAACTGTTTTGTTGAAAATTTTCAAAACCCCTTCAGATAATTCCTAAAAGAGATTTCCTAAATTTGAATTTGAAAACTCTTGAATACATGTTATTTAAGTTATAAGATGGGGTGTTTTTTTTTTTTAATTTTAGTTTTTTTTTAAAACAATTTTTATGAACACTTTAATGTAAGGTTACATGTTACACTATTTTGGTTTTTGTTTTAGATAGACCATGAGACAAAAATTCTTAGGTAATAGTGTTACTTGTAAATTGTTTTATGATCCTAACTGACTTGTGGTTTATTGTTTAGGGATTGAAATTTGAGGCAGAAATCAAAACAAATGAATTTCAGCCACAGCAGGCAGCAAAAGAAGTTCAAATCAGGGTCACTAATCAAAGAAACAAGAAGGTAATTTTGTTTGTGTACTTATTCAGTTCTAGACTTTTTTTCTTCTCGAGAATATATATTTTGAAAAGCAAAAACAAAAGAAATTAAATAAGTAAGAGGAGGGATGGAGGATTGCTTCAGTTGAAGATGATATAATTTGAAGAAAAAGAATGTCTATATACCCTCCGACACACCCCTCTTATCTACCCAAGAGACGAGTTATATGAGACTTCTCTAAATATATCAGTTCTGTAGCATTGAAAGTACAAAGTACATGTATAATATTTACATTTCCAATGTCTCTGTCCGAGATAAAATAACAAATTGTAAAAATACTTTATTTCTACATAAATCTACTGGTTCATCGGTGGGCGCGGTTAAAAAAAAATCACGTGCAGGACGGACAAATAGAGACAGAAGCGGGGCTATTAGCACGGGAGTTTGCAGAATCAGAAGCATGTAAATATAAGGAATAACTGTCAGATTTTTTGGATTCATGACGATGATCAATCGATTGGCTTGCGTGATAATTTTATGCATAAACGCCTTCGGCATTTATGCAAATTATCACGCAAGCCACTCGATTGATCACATCATGAATCCAAAAAATTAGACAGTTATTCCTTAAATAAATACCACTTGGTCCATTTCTTGTAGGTGTGGGTTTGGTCTAGAGATAAATTCCTTCATCGGAAGGATTTAATGGAGGAACTGTACTGTAAATTTATGGATGGGGAATCCATACCACAGGGCAGAGACAAAGACCCCTTCTGGGACCCTGTGGAAGACATTTTTTTGGGGAGGTAAGAAATGCCTGATACGCTCAGAGTAAAAAAAAATAGTAATAGCTATAATACAGTACAAGTAGAAATTTTAGTGAGGATTCGATTTTGGCATTATTAGTGAGAGTGTTGAGATAGCTAAAGTTGAGTATCGCGAACAGTTTATTTCACATTTAGAGGTCATGGTTTTCTTTCTAGGCATCATAAAATCACTCAAATTACTCCTCACTAGTACTAAAATTAAATACTGATTTTCAAGGAAGAATTGCTAAATTTTCATCTCGCTAAAAATGTGCGGTATACCAAAATAAATGACTTCTTAAGCTAGCTCTGAGAAAGTATTCTGGAGACATTGTAAAACTTGATTAATTTTTTTTAAAACTTATGGCTATTTAATGAAACGCTTCTGTACAGATTGTAGAAACACAGATTTACACCTAAGGTTTCCATTTTTTAAACATTATACAAAGTCTTTTTACTATTATTCAATTCAAAGCTGCCATGTGATGTTACAAAGTCTTTCATACTGCGTGGAAACGGATGAACATTTTACCCTACATAATTACCACGGCAGAGAAGAGGCCGTAATAAAAGTGGGGATTTTCCCTCTGGATCAGAAGGGGGTACATCTGGGGGAGGAGAGCATAGTAGAACCCCGAGAACTGCTGGGGAAACCATTCAGTTATGAGATTACCATACCCGAAGCCATGGGGGTCAGGTGGTGCTCAGAAGATAGGTCAAGGGGAGTGTACTGCAAGTGAGTAATATGGTAGATTGTTCTCATCTGATTATGTGTAATATTTCTACTGGGAAACTCACTTCTCAGGTCTTACTAATTGTTGCAAACCACTTTGTGCATAACAAAAATGTTGAGGATTATGAGGAAATTTCAGAATGTTTGTTCATGTTGATCAAGCATATTACTTTTATCTTGCATCAAGCAAGTATACTTTTATCAAGCATATTACTTTTATCTTGAAAATGAAGATAATTATAGATGGGAGGGGATATCAGAGAAAATATTACTATTCACATGCTTGAGTTGCAATAAGTAAAGTTGTCACAAAGAAAGATTGAATATGCTCTTTCAGACAATAAAGGAAAATTATCTTTATCAAATAACAAAAACTAAAACTTTTTAGTAATTCTTATGGAAACCATTTTTATATGATCTTTAAAATCTGAAAATAATTTATTTAGGTTTTTAGTCAACCAAAAGCCAGTGAAGAGTGATACAGTCTGGGGAAAAAGCTACTGTGACTTCAACCTGATGTATCAAGTAAAGGAGAAGAAAGTCACACATGAGTTTATAAACTACCTACAGACACATTCCCTGGTGGTGGAGCTCTGGGGAACACAGGGTATGTAGAGAGATTTGGGGTATGATGAAACTTCAAGCAGAAGAGATTTGATATGAAGTATGTAGAGACTTATGTCAGGAGAGAACTTGATTTGGGATATGATCAAACTTAAGTCAGGAGAGATTTGATATGATATGGGTATATATGGAGACTTAAGAAGATAAGAGAGACTTGATGTTGGATATGATGAAACTAAAGTCAGGGTAAATTTGATAGGGAGTATATGTAGAAACTAAAGAGAGATTTGAATTGGGGTATACAGAGACTTAATCCAGGGGAGACTTGTCATAGGGTATGTATAGACATAAGCTAGGAAAGACTTGTCACAGAGTATGTATAGATTTAAGCTAGGTGAGACTTGTCATAGGGTATGTACAGACTTAAGCTAGGAGAGACTTGTCACAGAGTATGTATAGACTTAAGCTAGGAGAGACTTGTCACAGAGTATGTATAGACTTAAGCTAGGAGAGACTTGTCACAGAGTATGTATAGACTTAAGCTAGGAGAGACTTGTCACAGGGTATATATAGACTCTAGCTAGGAGAGCTTTGTCAAAGGGGTATAGATTTAAGCTATGAGAAACTTGTCACAGGTTATTCATAGACTTGAGCTATGAGAAACTTGTCACAGGGTAATATAGACTTATGCTAGAAGAGACTTGTCTCAGGATGTACAAAGACTTAAGCTAGGAGAGACTTGTCACAGGATATATATAGGTAGGAAAAACAAGTCAAAGGGTATGTATAGAACTTAGCTAGGAGAGACTTGTCACAGGATATATATAGACTTAAGCTAGGAGAGACAAGTCAAAGGGTATATATAGAACTTAGCTAGGAGAGACTTGTCACAGGGTATATATAGACTTAAGCTAGGAGACACTTGACACAGGGTATGTATAAACAACCTAGGAGAGACTTGTCATGGGGTATATATAGACTTAAGCTAGGAGAGACTTTTCACAGGATATATAGACTTAAGCTATGAGAGACTTGTTACAGGATATATATAGACTTAAGCTAGGGGAGACTTGTTACAGGATATATATAGACTTAAGCTAGGAGAGACAAGTCAAAGGGTATGTATAGATATAAGCTAGGAGAGACTTGTCACAGGATATATATAGACTTAAGCTTGGAGAAACAAGTCAAAAGGTATGTATAGAACTAAGCTAGGAGAGACTTGTCACAGGATATATATAGACTTAAGCTAGGAGAGACAAGTCAAAGGGTATGTATAGAACTAAGCTAGGAGGGACTTGTCACAGGATATATATAGACTTAAGCTAGGAGAGACAAGTCAAAGGGTATTTATAGAACTAAGCTAGGAGAGACTTGTCACAGGATATATATAGACTTAAGCTAGGAGAGACTTGTCACATTGTTTGTATTGACTAATGCAAAAACAACATTCTTGTAAATAACAGAAAATGAAATAATTTGAGATTTTGATCTCATAAGAGTATCAGTCAACATGAAATCTTACCAATGCATTCAGTTTAGTTGTTAGTTAAACCCACATGACAAGGTATAAACAAGTAACTGATTGCAATGCACTTCTTAATGATACATTATCATTGTAAAATCTGACACATTTTATGTGCTGTGAAAGGCAGATCAAGTTATTGTTATCCTGGATGTGTATTGAATTTATTCCACCATGTTTTGGATGGCATGTTTAACATCAAGGTGCCTTATCAAAAGGCATACACTTGAAAGATGTTGACCAGTGTTTAAATATAGACTAATGAAATGTTCTTTTATTTGAAAAATGTAACTGCTTTTGTGAAATTGAGAATGTTAATAATTACATAAAATACTTGGTAAAGGTCACATAGATTTCAACTTGTCAAAAAATATTAAGTGCCAAAACATAAGCTATGTGGAGATGGAGATTTCACACAGGGTTTTTAGGAACTGAAAAAGACAGAGAGAGTATGATTGTAAAGAACTTGACAAAAAAAATGTATGCAGAGACTGTACACAGAGAATCCACAGGCATACTTGGACAGAGAACAAAATAAGTACAGTGTATGTCTTTTATAAATCAATCTACAACAATCTTACCAACACAATTTAATTGACATACAAATGTTATATAACAAGCAATACTCAACACTGTACTAAAGATCTAATACCAAAGCAAGTGCTTTCTAAGTCATTAAGTCACAAGCACTTATCACAGAAAGCTTTTTGAAACTGAAACTGTTTGTGTTAGAGAATTGAATCATTTCAGATGGTATTAACTGTGCCAGGTTTTTCTTCTTGCAAAGATGTTTTTATGGTCTCCTTTACATCATATAATACCTTAACAAAAGTTTGACAACATGAAGAACAGATTTTATTTTTTTTTTTCTCTGCAAAAGATTGTTGCAGTGTCCAAGAACTTACATTTATCGCTTGTTAATCAATAAATTTTCCTGATCAATGCATAACCAAATCTAGAATTCACTGTGGGTGATCCATCTTCAATTTTAGTTTTTCATAATTAACCAATAGAAATTGGCTCAAATCAACACGGATTTGTTTTCTGCAGATGTTGGATGTGCTTGTTGTAATCCATGTAAGTATTGTGAGCGCATGATGGCTTCGTGTAATTGTTTTATTTAAATGGTAGCTGGGAATTTCGGTACCATAACATCTTTAACATATTCTGTTCTCATCATTGCAGGTTTTGCTTAAATAAGATATTTTGACTCAATGCTATATAATTTCTTATCAGTTCAAATTCTTTTTACGTGCTTATTTCTATGAAGTTCTTTGTCAGTTAAGATTATAATTAATACTGAACTTTGATATATCAATTATGGGTCCTATCCTCATCATTTCTTCAGTCTTGCATATTTATCATACATGCAAATGATATGAAAGGAACTTTAATTTCAGGCATACCAGTGATTTGTTCCTGAAGTTTCTACTGCGCATCATGCTATACTAAATCATTATATGCCAGATTCTTTTTCATCACATATTCTTAGATGCCATACTAGTTGTAGACATCCGTGTGGGACACCAATTACCCATGCTTAAACAACCCTATTTTTAGTGTCACAGGCAAACATGCATAAATTCACAAATAATTTGTAGTAGAATTTGAATTCTTACAAAATCTGGAATACAAAAAAAGGCTTGCCATATGTAAAACAATATGCATATGCTTCTACATTTGTTTTATTTGTCCCTCTAAATTTTTCCTTGATTCAGATTTTGACCCATATATTACCTGTCAAACTGAACAGTCAATCAAACTTTGAACTTTGAAAATATGGCTATTGTTTATTGGCATTTCATTTTCACATAGTTGTGAATCTACACACAAGTACTGGCCTTCCATCAAACTGTTGGAATTCAGATGGGCACTATTTATGCTCCCTTATTAGGTGACCTATTTTTTTGCTATATTCCTATGAAGCAGAATCTATTCAAAAACTTCTACATGAGAAGAAGAAAACACTTTCTGCATCCTTCAACTCAACATTCAGATAAATCAACAACATTCTATCAATTAATAATAGTTACTTCCATTTATATGTTGACTCAGTATATCCCAGTAACTTGAAATTAAAGACACCACAGAATCTGCCACATCTGTTTCATATATGGATGTTATACTAACTATAGATGATAAGGGTCAACTAACAACTAAACTGTATGACAAATGAGATAACTTTAGCTTTTCCATCGTCAACTTTCCTTATTTATGTAGTAATATCCCACTATCACCTGCATATGTGTTTATGTCTCCCATCTTACTCAATACTCAAGAGCATGCTTGAGTACAATCAACTTTTAAACCAAGACAAGATACTGACATATAAGTTAATGTTACTTGGATTTCAACATCCTTGTTTAAAGTCAGCAATTCGTAAGTTCTATGGTTGTTATAATGATCTCGTTAGCAAATATATCCTACCATTGTGTCTTATTTTGACGGACATATTTCATACCAATAATTATTGTTAGGCATTTATTTAATACTAAATTCGACTACAGAATATTCTGTCTACTTGATCAATACATAGGGTTCAAGGTGGGCATGACTAGTCAACAGGGATGCTTAATTCTCCTAGGCACCCAATCCCACCTCTGGAATTTTCAGAGGTCCGTGTTTTATGCCCTGATCACAGATTTGTATTGTTTGTAGATTGTTTTTAGATTGATTACTGTTCCTTTTTCATTTTCTCTAAAAAATAAATTGTGTCTTTCATTTTGTTCTTTTACAAACAAACTACATGTATATAAATAAATGAAGAACAAAATGATTTGGTCAATTAGACTGATCTAGATTACATTAAAACCTGAATACTGCCATTTTCTCATTAGTGTTGTTGTGATCACATTTTGTGTTTTTGGTAAAAAATACAATTTTTGTTGATATGTTAATTCAAAAACAGCTACCTTGTCCTATTCTATCATTAAGTAAAATTTATAGTTCAGTGATCACTGAATTTCATGGTCTTGTTCAACCACCTAAAAAAAAACAATAAAAAATGATGAAACCATAATATTTCATATTTAAATTTTATTGTTTAGGGAGTTAGTAAGACTCTCCAGGTTTTCTGATATAAAATGTATTTCCTGTGACAAAGCCTTAGCAATGATTAAGGGAACCAAGATCTTGCTAATTGAAAAAAATACATTGTTTTATTTCACCAATACAAATTAAAACTTTGATAAACTTAGGTCCCTCCCACAACATTATTGATATATTGACAGTTGACATCTGTGAGCCAAGGAGAAAGGTGTATGTTCCATGCTAGTGCCACTAACATTGTCTCTGGTTTTTAGGGAGGCGGGGGGTTGGGGGTGGGAGGTGCCCCCCCCCCTAATTTTGTCGATATGTAAAATAATATGGAAAACATAGCTTCTGTATGCTTGTGCCCCCTCAATAAAAATATCTGATGACCTTTTTTTTTTTTTCGCTTGTCAAGGAATTTTAGGTAGTTGATAGTGCCCCCCAACTGTAAATGTATGGCTGTGCCCCTCCCAAACTGAAATTGCTTTCTACGGGCCTGAAAAGTATCTGCTTTTGGGAGGACATAAAATTTAACAATAAAGCAAATATGGAAGATTAGAAAAGGCAGAGTAATAAATGCATTGAATAGGATATCATTCTTTTGGTTTCAATGTGGACTATTTAAGTTAGCAATTCACTTAATGCAACACTTTCTTGTTGGTTTTATACATCAGTTTGGTATATGGTTGCTATGTGTAAGTAGATTGGGTGTGGTTTTTCAATGTAGGGTATTTGGAGATAAACACACATATCTCTTATAGACAATTAAAGCATCAGATTGCAGGAAACAAACTTTAAGGAAAAACATTGCCTCCTTATATCATTTGGTTTTGATTTATGAAACATGGAAGTTAATAATATCACAAACACAGAATAATTTTATATTCATGCAGATTATTAGAAACCATGATGATGGGAGATCAACACACACACAAAACATCAAGTGACTTTGATATATGTACATCTGTACTGAAATCTAACCCATTAGATGGCAAAGTGACATGCTGTGCTTCAGTTTTGTTTTGTTTTTTTTCAATCTAATGTTTTTGAATTATGTAGTACTTTAGCCAAAATGCTTTTTTCAATATCTAACATACTGACCAGCATCTTAATGAGGAAACCTTATTAAGATTTAAATATGGAGTTCGTTGTTATACCCAATTCTTCCGGAGAATAATTTGGTACATTGTTAATTTTGTCCATCTGTCTCTCATCTTTGTCATTGGTAATTTGATGACTATTCAGTCTAATAGTATAGCTAGAAAGTTTTTTGCATTATACATATATACACTTGGCCATGTCATATAGTCTATATACTGATGGTGCGTATTTTAGAATTTTGTTCTCTTGAACAACTATTATACATGACATTTTTATTTAATTATCAGCTGTTGAAACCAGTCTGTGATAAATGATAGTCATAATTGAGCTTTCCTGTTTTATAAACTTTAATACCTTTGTAAAGTGTTTATCTGTTTGTTGGACTGATGTTGTTAAGATGCTACACGTGACCTTGATGAGTCAATTTATTCAAGGTTTATATGGTATAGGACAGTTTCCATAATCAAGTACTTACAACTACTTTTTTTGGAACAAGCCCTCACCACAAACCGGGTCTGTAGGACAATATGATTTTAACAATAGAAATTGAATGTTCAATTTAATTAAGTCAACCAGTGAAATGCTGGTATAGCTATCATATCTTATATTCGCCTATACTGGGGTTATGCGGATGCTTTCTTCCTGCATTTATGCCATCATTTTTATTTTAAATTACCTAACACCAGGTGTCAGTAAAAACTGATATTATACCTTAATACATGGCATGTTTTTAATAATGTGTTTTATTTTTACAGTGAATGAAGAGGATCAGCTTCATCAGACATTTAATGGCAATGGGGTAAATATCATAAAATATTTACTTCAGTTTTAGTGGTTTTATTTTAGCAAGAAATTAATAGTAATGATAGCATTTAAAATTCACTGTTTATTGCAGGTTAATGACATTAATGGTGATGTTCTTTCACAACTGAAAAATAAGGTACATACGGAATTTTCTCTATAATTAATATTTTAATTAAAAAACTGTACAGAATTTATCATAGCTCTAGTTATTTGAGACCACAAGAGCTCATACAATGGTAAAGTGTCTATGTGTTGGTCTGGGCTTTTCATCTATATGTAAACCACTTGTCAAAGTGCTACTCCTCAAACAGTTTTATTCTGATTTCAATAAACCTTGGTACACAATTAAACTTTGCTAAGATACATAACTCTTTATTTTTTATTTCAGCAAACAATGTTGTCATGGTACTAAAAATAGAAAATTCTATGAAACTCTTTCAAAATGATACCCACTTATATTTTCCATCAGATTTCAATAACACTAGATATACAATTAGACTAAGCCAAAGATCTTGACTACATTAGTCTGTGTTAATTGCTATAGTTACTAAAGTATAAGTCTATAGGTGCTACTTTTCTCTTCCTGTATTATAATTACAGACCGGTAGAGCTACAGAGACTTCTGGTTATGTGATATGATAGGAAATACAGTTGAACTTCAGTATCTCAAACACTGATATCTTGAATACCATGGATATGAAGTCCCAATCACTTTTTCTTTTTTTTTAATCTTGATATCTCGAATCTTTTTGCCTGGTCCCATCAAGATTGAGATAATGAGGTTTGTCTGTATCTTGTGAAAATATTTAATAAAAACTTGACTTCTTATCAGGAACTGGAGATTGAAGGGCTTAATGAAGATCTAGACACTCTGAAAAAGGAAAACTTTAACCTGAAGAAGAAGTTAGACAAACAGCAGCAACAGATTGACATCAAGCGGAATAGAAAGGGTAAGAAAAGCTTGTACACAAATGAGAAATTCAGGGGTAATTCAGAGGCTTTAGTTACGGTACCATAGGTGTTATACTGTATAAACCAGACACAACCTGACGAAGAGCAATCCCAGAGAAGTCCCTGGAACTGCCTTCTGGGTCTGCTCTGGTGCATCTAAGCAACCCAGGAACAGTCTCCAAGTGGTCTCAGTGTGGTCCCCAAACATCCCTCGGTGGTCTCCAAGCAGTCCCCAAGTGGTCCCAGAAAGAGAACATAAATTGTTAAAAAAAAACTAATAATAAACTAAAAAAGCTTATAAGCAGTCCCAGCAAACTCGGTAAGCAGGATTAATTTAGTTAATGGTGGAGCCATTGAGTCATCACTCAGATTATCAATAAACAAATGTCAATTATCTACTTAAGCACATTCTTACAGTCCCTGGGACTGCTTGAGTGTCAGGTTGGGGCTAGTTGGTACTTAACCCCTGACCAGTAAAAATTTACACAAGTAAGAGTCTACCTGTCACTTGTTAAGATTTTATATTTGATATCAATTTTTATAATTATTCAGTAAGAATATATTGAATATCCTTTTATATTTTATTAATTTGTCACCAAGTTTAAATCTTGATACTCAGTTTTAGTTTACTTGACTAATAATTATAAAGCTAGTAAGTGCTTTAGTTCAGAAGAATAAATCTGGTTATAAATGAGTTCTCAGTAAGAATTCAAAATTACCTAGGAAGACACATCACCCATATAAGGCTAGTATAAGCAACATAGTTTTGTTAACCTTGTGTAAGTATCTAGCTGCACTACATGTAAAAAGTTTACTTTTCAAGTATGGATCTAATTACATATTATGAGTATTGTAAAATTATGTATCATACACCACATTTAATTTTGAGTGGTAGCTAAAACCATTAAATAAGGACAAGGAGAAATTTGGTAGAGAAAATCTGGGCATTTCTCTTTTATTTTCCCTTTTTAGCTCACCTGAGCCAAAAGCTTAAGTGTGCTTTTCTGATCAAAATTTGTCAGTTGTTGGCGTTTTTGTTGTTGTATACTTTTCACATTTTCATGTTCTCCTCCAAAACTATTGGGCTAATTTCATTCAAAATTGCCACAAAGCATCTTTGCTTAAAGGGGATCCAAATTTGTTCAAGTGAGGTCCACACCCTCTTTTAAAGGGAGATTATTAAGAATTGGTGAAAATTTAAAAACCTTCTCAATAAATACTGGGCCAGTAAACTTGAAACTTGTATGAAAGCTTTATTACATAATAGTGTAGATTGAAATTTGTTCAAATCACAACCCCTGAGGGTGGGGAATGGCAACAATGAGCAATTCAAAGTTTTACATAGGAGTATATAGGAATAATCTTTAAAAATCTTCTTCTCAAGAACAGCAAAGCCATGATTAGTCATATCTATATAGAAGCATCCTCAGGTAGTGTAGATTCAATTCATGACTTTGGGAATAGGGTGGGGCCATTATATGTGATCAAAGTTTAACATAGGAATATATAGGGGGAAAATGCTCATGAATAACAGCAGGGAGATAGTGACTCAGGTGAGTGTTGTCGTCCATGGACTCTTGTTAAAATGTAATTTTGATAAATTGATTACTTAATATGTTTACAAGTTCATTTTATACTAAAGATTTGAAAATTGATTTAAAATTTTTCTCTTTCTATACGACCCCTCCTTAAAATGTAATATTTTAGATATAAAATTTGGAACTTCTGAGTTTTAAAATTGATAAAAATTTGCTTCAAAAGATGTAAGCAGTTTTCCTCCAGCAGGTGAGTTACATGTCAGGAGTGATGCTAAATTTTCAGACTTTCCAATCTACTATAATTCATACATTCTTGGATGTGCATATTACTTATTAAATTTCCATCAAATTTGATTTGTTCTTAATCTCATTAGAAGTGACCATTTTGCATGATAGAAAAAAATCCAAACCTATATGTGAAGTTGTGCACATCCAAGTTTGAGTTTACACATCTTCTACTCCTCTGTTTGGAGCCTATATATCTATATATGAATGGTTTGCCCTCTACTTTTTTGCAATAGGTGTGTCAGAAGGTATATTGAACTGTGTGGTCAGATCTAATTTTTTAGCTACTATTGTTTTTTTACTGTAACTTTTACAAAATGGTTCTAACTAAAAGGAAGAAAGCACTTCAGAGTAACATACACTGGACTACAACACTGCACTGCACTGCAAATCCATAATAAAAATTTAAGTGTTGTAAACTTTATATTACAATTTATTACCGTTTATCATAAATATAACATTTTCGTTGAGATACCTCCATCCCCTTTAAGAGGGCTGGGTGGTCGTGGCCATTTTTAGACTATATTGATCTTCTTTAGAAGAAGAGCTCCATATAAAGATATACAAAAATGATCAAATTTTAAAACTAAAATGTATGAATTTTTTCTTTGCCAAATGATAGTTGACAGCTTAAGATATCATATCTAAAAAAAAAAAAAAGTTATATCTGATGGTTAATTTGTTGACCCCCCAGCCTCCTTAAAGAAAAAGAAAAGAATGAGAGAAAAAAGGAAAAAATGAGGAAAAGCAAAATAATAATTTATAATTGATAGTGCAAATTAACATAGAACTATTACATGTAATATACAAGGGGTTGTCCTTAAAGTTTGTGGACAATGATGTTTTTGTCAAACTGAATGGTCCTAGATGTACTTCACTGTATACCAAAATATTTGTTATGAAAATCTAAGTCAGAATAATTTGGTTTTGTTTGTTTGAACTTAATATATTTTTTTTTAATTTTGCCTTCCTTGAAGTGCTATAAACTTTGAAATAAATTCCAGATAAACATTATTTTCTTTATTAAACAAGCAAAGGCTTAAAAATTTAATGTGTCACAAATAAAGTGGCTGTCGTCATTTTCTGGATTAGACAACATTTTAAACAAGACAATACTTTTAAAAGTTTACGTCTTATTATACAAAAATTTCAGAGTACACAACGTCCAGATTAGGAAAGTTTTACTGCACTAGATTATTGGTCTATATTAAATTTTTATCACACAGGTTTGGCAGTGTGGTCATTATTAAGAAATTATAGCAATTGTCTATGAACTTTATGGACAGCCCTTGTTTATATAGGTCAAGGTTGAACTTTTTTTTTTAACTTTAATATATTACTGCTTTTGTGACTTTTCATGTATCAGCTCATGTCAAAATACAAACTTTTGAGTCCTGTGAACAGTGGTTTATGAAAATGTTAATTAAACTACAAATTATTTTAAAATTGAAAAGACATAGAAGGTTAAAACGACCACTTGATTCAAACAAAGTCCAATACAGTTGAACTTCTGTATCTCGAACACTGATATCTCAAATACCATGGATATGTCGAAGTGATCTTGAAGTCCCAACAGCTTATTCTTAAGTATTTTACCCTGGATATCTCGAATCGTCGGATATCTCAAAGTTTTTTCTTGACCCCACTGAGTTTGAGATAATGAGGTTTTACTGTATATTACATGTAACAAGAAAAAGGTTAAAACTATGTACATGTATATGTGATTACACTGTACATATGGGGAAGTGAAAATGATATTTCAAAATTGAAATTTATATTGATATTTGTTGATTAAAAGAAAAGTTTATAAACATATATTTAACCAAGAGATTTCCCAAAATGTACATGTATAAGTACATGTAGTAGGATTTCTCAGGTGAGCAAAAAGTATGAAACACCACAAGAAGTCATCATGTACTTTTCAAATCTTCTCTCATTTTACTCTGAATGTACATTTTGATGACTGAGAGTGTTTTAATTACACTGCACTCTATATCAGAAGCCTTTGGTTTGAGGAACACTAATCACACATTCTGTTAACAAAAGTCCATCCCTCCAAAAAACAGTGACACTTTTATCACTTCTATTTATTATAGGCCTTAACTTGGAGATTTAAGTACTCTTGTGCAACAATTCTCATTGAAGTCTGGGTACTGTTTGAGTACTAAAATTGTTTAAGGAAAATATGGTTAAAAAAAGGGAAAAAATACATTGTACTACTCTTAACTAAGATAAGAAATCAAATGATTTGGGTAATTCAGAGACTTTTTAGGGATTTCCTCTGCAAGAACCCAGGAGATGGACAACCTGATGACAATTTTCCTTAGTGACTCAAATGAAATTAAAATTGATACACAATTTTATCAATGTAATCTTCAATTTAGAAGTAAACATTTCCTATAGAAGTAAGAGTTGATGATACTTTGTTTTATTTTTTAATAGCCAGTACAGGAGACATTGGTTTGGATGCAGACTTAGCTCAGGCTCTCAGACTCTTCTTCAGAGAGGTCAAAACTGTCCAGGGTCAACTGTCAGAGATCAAGGAGTATGGTAAAGATCTACATAGCTCAACTTCTAATTTACTGTGAATTTGGGGAATCTATTCTTTTTAAAGCAAAGAAATATTTGTTTATGAATAATTTTTATATCTACATGAATGGCTTAAATTGGTGTACGTCTCATTTAAAATTATAGCTTGCCGATTACAACAACCTATGGAGAGAACAATTAATATAGGCATTTTTGCCTGCTGTCCATCCTATTCATCATGTATAATGAATTAAATATATTTTAAATCAAAATTACAGCTAAAGTTTCTCAGCATGGTTCCTCAGACAATGGTAACATAAAACAAGCACTTGGTAAACAGGAACAGAAGCTACAGGAAATAGAAAACAAGCTTTCTGGATGTGTCACCTCTCTAAAAGACAGTGTTACAAACACTCTGAGGAAGGCAAAGAGATGACAGGTCACATGACAAAAAGTCACCATTAAAAACGCAGATCATCCCAAGCATGATGCTTCTAAAGAAGAGGTCATAAAATGACTTATTTGTTATTCAATGTGAACTCTGATCCCAGTGATATCAGAGCTAAATGGCTCTGTATAACCTTGCAGTATTACACAGATGGTCAGAATCAAAATAATACACTAGTGTTCATTGATTTATTTTTATGTGATTACAGTAATAAGTAGCTACATGTACTTCTATAAAAAAAATATATAGCATTCTTCTGTAAATGAACTGGCAATCAAATAAAAATGGCTTTTTGAAGATTCAATCAAATTTTAGGGCATAATATTATATATACACTGTCAGTATTTTGATGAATTATTTTGTAAATCTGCCTTAAGTGCTTTTGAGAATTTTTTGCTTCACAAATCACAGGGTGTTATTTGCACTGTATAGTGTACATTACATGCATGTCCAGAACTAGTCTTGCCTTTATTATGTGTTGCATATAAAATGTATTAATCATGTTAATGTACAGTTAATTGAACATGAGTATAACATCTACACAAATAAATATCATTGTAAAACAAATCTAATGTGTTGCACATTTTAAATATATGTATATATAATCACCATACACTTCATGTTTTAACTCTTAATTCATGTAGAGAATCAGATCTAGATGAGAGTATTTTAAGCTCACTTGAGTCAAAGGCTCCAGTGAGCTTTTCTGTTCAAAATGTGTCTGGTGTCTGTCTATTGTTTGAAATCTTTTCACATTTTCGATTTCTTTTCAAGAATTACTGGGCCAATTTCAACCAAACTTCCACAACAGGGGATGAAAGGTATGCATAGGAAATCAATATCTTTTAAAATCTGCTCAAGAACAGCAAAGCCATGGTTAGTCCTATTAGTTTAGAAGCATCCTCAGGTAGTGTAGATTCAAGTTTGTTCATATCATGACCTCCAGGGGTAGGGTGGGGCCACAACAGGAAATAAAGTTATTCATGGGAATATATAGGAAATACCTTTAAAAATCTTATTCTCAGGAATAGCAAAGCCATAATTTAAGTCATATTAATACAGAAGCATCCTCAGGTAACTTAGATTCAGTTTGATTCAAATCATGAGCCGTGGGGTTAGATTAGGGCCACAATATGTGATCTTAATTACGTAGGAATATTTGGGGAAAATCTGCTGATAAAGAACAGAACGGCCATAGTGAATAAGGTGAGCATTGTGACCCATGGTCCTCTTTGTTTCATGCGTTTGCTCTCCATCCCCCTTTCCCTCAAAATTGGGTTAGTGTGGACCTCGCATTACCCATGAAAATGTTCCTATCAATAAAACAAGATTAGATAAACTAAGATATTAACTAAGGACAAATGAAATGGTCGCCCGCCAAGGAATCTACATACATGTATTGTAATTAAGGTATGATATTAAAATAAGAGGCGGCTTTTTGGTCTTTAACGGTCACTGGGCGTTTTTGAAAATAAATTCATTGGTACAAATTTGACAATACAGTTACAGTGTATTTATTGTAAATAAGACCAGTGTCAAATTTTCGAATAAACTTCATGAATTTACACGTTTCACGTAATCTTGTGTTGTTAAGTAACTATACTGGTGCATGTTTAAAGTGCATTTGCGTGCTGGTTGAATGAAAGCATCCTCACAATGTCAAGGATTTATGATTTCGTAACTCCACTGTGTGGAGTTCCGAAATCACAAAACCTTCATGGCCGTAGGAACCGGGGGGCCGTCCCCCCCCCCCCCCCAAATTTTGCCGATATATAGTTACTATAGTAAACTTTGAAACTATATGCTTGTGCCCCCTCAAAAAAAAAAAGTCTGATGACCTTTTTTTTTCTTTTGCTTGTCAGGAAATTTTTGGATAGTGCCCCCTCAACTGTCAACTGAAAATGTATGGCTGCCCCCCCCCCCCCCTTCAAACTGAATTTGCTTCCTACGGGCCTGACCTTGACATTGTGAGGATGATCCGAAATCACAAAACCTTGACATTGTGAGGATGGAATGAAAGCTGCTTTTAGATTATAAAAATGAGCTTGATTTGACAAATCCTTGATGGAATTTCTAGTCATAAAATTAATTGTCAAACAGGAAAAACTGTAGTGGACCAATTGTTATTTACTTTTCTGCCTCTAAGTCAAATTCAAAAGTTAATTCTGTGTAATAAAAAGTTAAAAGATAATTCTCTGCATATATTTCAAATATTTTAAGGCTGTCTAGCTGTTTTCTCGTCTATTTGCTGTCATAATCCTTTTTCTTTTTTAACCCTTTCTCAAATGTAATATGCTTAAATGTTATATGTTCCTCACATACAAAGTATTCGTCTGAATTGTTAATAAAATACTAGATATCGTCTCCAAGAAAAAAATTAAGGTTTCCAGTACTCGGACCTGAGTTTAGTTCCAAAATTGACACCCCCCCCCTCCCCTCCCCACACAAACTAATACTTTCGTTTAACAGGCGATATCTTGAAAAGTCTCTGAGCTTTTGCAATGAAATTTAGTATCCAACTCTTTATGGGTTAAAAACGACCCCTATTAATGTTGAGGGCAAAAGGGTAAAGGTCAAGGTAAAAATTCAATTACAATTAACATTTTCCAGATGATCACTTTAGTTTTCTTTGAGCTTCTTCAATAAAATTTTATATCTCATCTCCCTATGACCTAAAGAAGAACCAACTGTCGATTTTGAGGAGAAAAAAGTCAGAGGTCAAGGTCATAATCTGTCTGTGCAACTTTTTTTCCCAATGTACGTCTTAAAAAGCCTTTGCCATTGAGATTTTGCAGTGAATTTCCATGGCCTTAAAAAAAATCATATTGATTTTTAGGTCAAAAGGTCGAAGAGATATATATTGCATATATAGTTTTCACATAATAATTTTAGTTTTTCTGTAAACTTTTGCAATGAAACTTTCGGTCAAGAATTCCTGTAATTTTAAAAAAGAGTCCTATTGACGTTAACGCCATTAGGTGAAAGATCAAGAATGACCTTGTTTTCTTTCTCCATCTGCAATTTTTTCCCCCAGTTTTTCTTCCCTATAATTTTTTTCCTTAAGAGGGGGATACAAATTCTGTGAAATAGCTTGTTTTATTTTAGATTTAAGGACACATCACTCTTACTGCATAAAATAAAAATCCCATGGAATAAGAATGATTTATCTCGGGGTAATGAAATATATATATATATATATATATATATATATATATATATATATATATATATATATATATATATATATATATATATATATATATATATATATATATATATAAAACTATTGAAATTGATCACAAATTGAGTTATATATTATAGATTTCTTTTTTTAAACTTGAAAATTTAAGATAGATCACAATGCAGAAACATTAATGAATTTTGAACTCTTAAGTGCTCAGTGTATAGAGGGACTTTAAAACTTTCCAATAATTAGTATTGCGCAAGTTTTTTTTTCAATACATGTATCTAGAACATATACCATTGAGGCAATGGGGCGTATCGTGGAAATTGACAACAATGGATGTACGCATTTATATTCATAGCCATTTAAAGTTTAATTAATAAGCAATATATTCGGAATACACCTTTTATAGTTTTGATTTAAAGAGTATTACCTTTCAATTCCTATTTGTTTTTATTTTCAATTTCAGAAGAGCCTTCGCTGTGCAAAACTTATACATAGAAAAGTATTTCGCAAAACAAAAACGCATTCATGAATATAAAAGACAAATATTGACGAGTAACCCCCAGAGACGACATGGATTTTAAAATTCATTCACGTCATCCGCAATGCTCGTCACTCTATGTAGTGGTCAATACCAAAGCGGTAAGTAAAGCTTAGCTTGTGTATAAATTAATAGAAAATAACTTCAGTAGGGCGATCTTTGAATTTACATGTACAAGGTCGAGTTCAGATATACATGCACATTATAATATATCAGATATAAGTTGGTCAAACGGGTATCTTTTCTGTATTAAACATATTTTTGGTTGTTTATGTTTGCGAAAAAAAAAAAAAACTTCTATGAGGCTATTTCTCAAGTAAAGGAACAGTCATTATACTGCCCGTGCAACTGATACACATTCGGTAAAGCTTGAAATTGGAAAGTCAAGGGACTTTCTTTTATACATTCACGTCTTTTAAATATCTCTGAATGGCATATACGTATTACATAATTAATATTTTCAGACAACAATAGTAATGGGTTGTTCTTCAAGCACAGAAGTCAGAGCTGTTTCTCCAACGATCAACACCAACAATAGCCATGTACATCATCAGCCTCATCTACAGCAATTTCAACAACAACATTATGAAAGCCAACAACTAAATCACAAACAAGAAAATCATGGAAGTCAACATCAAAACTATCAATCACACGACCAACAGCAGCAAATAACAATGATAAGCCACAACACACAAAACCAGAACAACTCCCCTCCACCAGCAATTGAACCTCCAAATCGGTCATCGGACACTGCACATATCCAAAAGGGTAACATACTCAGTGATCAGAATGAGAAAAGTGACGAAGTCCAAGGCAAACCTTTCCTAAAATACGCTGCACCATCTCACCCTCTGAACACAGGCTCGGGTCTTGCAGTTGACATCGACGATTATATGGAGCTTGACTCAAAAATAGCAAGTTCAAATGCGATATTGTCTAAAGAAGAAAGCGTTGAAAATATAAAAGCAAGACTCGCCGAGTACGGCGTCTTCAAGGAGAGTTATAATGTTAGGGAACTCAGTGAGCACAATTCTGATCAGGAATATTTGGAATTGTTTAGTTTCCATGGTGATGTTGTTTCGATGCCGGCATTATTCGATTTATGTAGTCCATATATTTTTGCGATCGAAAGAACTAGATTACTGGAAAATGAGCCAGATCTTCCCGAGTCTGAATACTTTACCTCGGAGTTTCACCATTGGTTTGAATCCCCTTATCCAGTACCGATTTCAAGCCTACTCCATGATGGACTTGACACCAAAACTATATCAATGTGCATGAAAAAGTGCCGGGTTAGCACGCTAAGGACAGGAAAGAAAGAGGAGGCTAACGATCTAAAGAAGGATGTGAACGTACTCTTAGAAGAGATTACACAAAATATCCAAGAACCAACTCAAAATCAAATGGAATACAAAGACCAGCTTCAACGCGCGTACAAACGATTTGAGATTACCCTTGCTTCTCAAGGAGAAATAGAAGTGAGCAGACCATCAGGGGATCCAAACGAACAAACATTTCCATTACCTGATGTTTTCCAAAAGAATCCCAAACTTATACGGAACTGGATTGAGAATTGGCAAACAATGGACACTATTGTTGGGCCGGGAGACGGATGGGATTTCAGTTTGAAACAGTGGGAATTGTTCGAAAAGGGCAGTGATGAAATGAAAATTGACGACACAAAACTACACAGGACAGAACTTGATGATGTACCAGCCCTCGATCTTTCCATTGATGGAGAAGCCGGATGGGATGTGATTCCGGTGGATATCGTAAAAAATGACATCACAACTCCGGAACAGGAAGAAATCTGGAAGGCTAGAGAAAATCGAAAGGACTTGAATGATCCAGAGCGCATGGCAAAACGACGATTAACAATTGAAGAGTACTTTAAGAAGAAGTATGAAACAAATTTTTCTTGGGCTTCCGAGAGAGTGGTAGAATTTAGAGGTTTTGCTGACAATTTAGTAAAAGCCGAAAAGGAGTTTCAGGCACTTTGTGAGGAAAGTTGATTTAATCTACAGACTTTATCCTTGTAAGATATCGTTTTGTTATACATCTTTGTTTAAAATTTGTTCATAAACATGATTGTTTGTTACAACTAATAGTTTTCTTCGAGGTCACAAGGAATTTGCTTGAGACTAGTGCTGCTTAATGGGAGAAGGTGCATTAATCTTAAAAAACATGCGGATTTAAGATGTGAAAACTTTTAAAATACTCTTGTCTTTCCGACATACATGTATTTTCTTTTAATCGTTAAATTAAAATTCTTCACCAAAGAAGTGATCATGCAGATTTTTATTGACAAATAAACCAAGAACACTACATATTATAGTGTTCTATAATATACATTTTTATAATATACACCTATTTACTGGCTATGAGAATAATAGAAAGTTTATTGTCCCCCAGAACGGCAACTATTTGCCGAGGCGCAGTCGAAGAAATTAGTTCTTGCTATTGTCCGACTGGTCAGTAAATAGGTGTTTTATTATAAACTTTGAACCTTCAAGCCCCGATTTCTACATGATGATCTTTGCGTATCAAGCAGGCACGTAGTATCGGGATGGGGGGTGGAGGGGCCGCTTTTTTCCAAGCATAACATTTGCTGAAAATGATCACTGAAAGGTCAACACCCCCACCCTTTGTTGTAGTATATTCAAATCACCCCCTACCCCCCAACAGCAAGTTTTTGCCCCCAGGACAGCAACTATCCGGCGAGGCGCAGCCGGGGGAAATAGTTGCGATCGAGGGGTACAAATAGGATTTTCGAGTTGAATAATTTTTTTCTTTTAATTGTTGCTCGCCAGTTCTTTCAGGTAAGTTATATTTTTTTCTGGCTGTCCTCACCCCTTCCCATTCAAAAACGATACTACGTGCCGGTCAGGATTATTATTTGTACTCCCTGTAGGTCTTCCGTTTTCAAAACTTAACACTCCTACTGTGACGTATCTCAGCGTAACGGTTTGAGCTTGTATCTAGATGATGCAAGGAAACTCCACACAAGTTTTTTTTTCGTTCCTGGCATTGTCCAAATGGCCTTGCATTTTTTTTCTCTGTATTTTTTAATTATCTTCCCTCATGAGTGGCCTTGTAGCAACCGCCAATGATAAAACGCCGCTTGATAATAGAAATGGCATTGCAATTGCAACGCTTATTGCCACAAATTATTGCATTAAAAGTTGACATTCTCATTAAGCGGTTGAGAATGTCAACTATTAATGCAATAATTTATGAATTAAGCGTTGCATTGCAACGCTTAATGATATTTCTATCATTTAACGGCGTTTTATCATTTGTGGTTGCTACATGGCCTTCCAACTTTTTGTTAGACTTGGTAGCAAGTAAAGATTTGATCACATGACCAACCCCTTTCTATATCTCGATAGATGTTTCAAAATCATACCTTTTTCATGGCCATAGGAACGGGGGGGGGGGGGGGGCACGGCCCCCGTGTCCCCAATAATTGCCGATATATAATTTACTACAGTAAACATAGATACTATATGCTTGTGCCACCTCAATAAAAACGAATGATGACCGTTTTCTTTTATTTGCTTGTCAAGGAATTTTTGGTAGGTGACCATTTTTTTTTGTTTGCTTGTCAGGAAATTTTTGGTAGTGCCCCCTCAGCTGTCAAGTGAAAAATGTATGGCTGTGCCCCCCCAAACTGAAATTGCTTCCTACGGGCCTGTTTTTTCCTTGACCAAGATACTGCAATTGGGGATTTAAACGTAATTTTTGTGGAAAACGGTTAATACATACTTCCGTAAAATTTCTAAATATTTTGTTTACTTTGGTTTTTACACATTTTTTTTGCTTTAAAAAACTTTAGAACGTCCAATTTTATACTTACGTACAAGAAACAGATTCTTTCCATATCCTATTTCCCACAATATTTGCAGTATGATGTATCTATTTTCAGGTTCCCTTTGTTTCATGTATTTATAGTCTATTGCTTTACAAGGTACATAACATTTTATTTAGTTTAAATCTATTAGCAGCCAGATTAAAAAAGAACAAGATTTAAAAAAATGTGTATTATATGTATTTGAAGTGAAATATTCTGATGCCTGGTAAATCCAGAAAACCGAAAGTAGCCTATTATCTAATCTTCAGAGTGCCTTGTTCATGTTTTTCCATTCAATCATTTTGCAAGTTGGTTGTGTATATTGTAAGTAGGCCTATGTCAGAGGCAAATACAAAAGATTTATGAATGAAATTTTCATACAGTTGAACTTCGGTATCTCAAACACTGATATCTCGAATATCATGGATATATCAAAGTGAATTGGAAGTCCCAACCTCTTATTCTTTAAGTATTTTATCCCGGATATCTTGAATCCTCAGATATCTCGAAGTTTTTTCTTGGTCCCATCAAGTTCAAGATAACAAGGTTTGACTGTATAATAAAACAATTACTCACTTTAATTTCTGATACAAGGATTTATCAATCCAAAGAAACATGAAGAGTTTGGCTTCACCTTGGTTCGTATACTCATCTTGATTCTTTGGATTGACAAATCTTTGTATGACCCTCAAAGAAAATCAATAATTGTTTTAATATCATTTAAATAACAAACAATTCAGATATTCAAATTGTTTAATGAACACATCATTTACATAAATACATATATTTAAACATGAAACCGTGAAACGTTTACAAAATTAAATTGCAATGAACAAACTTCAACCTTATTTTGTTGTACCTGAAATCTGCTCACCTAGAATCATGCACTTCCATTGTCCTCAGCACTATTCACAAGTATTAAGCAATTATTTGCAAGCTGCCTCTCTGCCGAGGGCTTTATTACATTTAAAATCCCGAACATCCTCTCCATCTGTATATATCAGTCAACTTCCATCTCTGACGTAACTTGAAATTGAAAATAACTACCAATCTAATACAATGCTCAACAATTTTGTAAAAATGTCACGGTAAAAGCTAGATATAGAATGGTAATTACAATGCAAATGTTTGTACAGACATATATACATGTACCTCTGCTCGAGAACAACAAATGTGTGCTTGCAAAAATATGAGATGTTCTAGACCCCCCAAATTCTATTCTTTTTGACAATAATAAAGCATACTGCCTTTTCAGTTTTTAAATCTCTTTCATATTCTGTTTAATTTTTTTTTTGGTGATGAAATTATAATTTATATTCAGCAATATGAACCTTACCACGTTCATGACAACAAATGGAATCGCTTCTCACATCGCTTCTCAAGCCTACAGTAGCTTAAGATGGCTCATCAACTGAAAGAGAAAATAAATTCAAACATTAGATATGATTGTCTCAGATCAATTTATAGAAAATTTATCAAAATTGATAACTAATGATTTTTTTTTAAATTTGAAGATCCTCCCCCAAAGATTTGTGCATCAAAAAAGAGATAAGATTGATGCAACCTAGAGTTATCTAATTTATGAATAATCAATCATGTTTTCATAACTAGATTTATAAAACCTGTAAATGAAGAAGATAACAAAAACAAAATGACAGTAAGACACATACATTAGATTTTTTTTCTATACTCCACCGTTTATAGGATTGAAACTTTTCCAAAAATCTTTTCCTTGGATGGAAAGCTGGAAGTGTAAATAAATTTGTTTAGAAATTTTTTCTTTCAACAATCAATAAAAATTTGATTTGTTGTTCTCAAGCACAAAAAATATTACATTTTAGAAACAAAGAAATCATCCCTACATCATTCATCAAGGTCATACAATTTTACAATAGAAAACATGACCATGCACAAAATATTTCACACATCAATGGCTCAAGCCATCTTCATTTCGTGAATTAATCATCACCACATCTGCCATAGGAGTGATCATTTTCATGCACCTTTCTCGACTTATTAGAACACAAATCACACAATTCCACTGATACTGAAGATCCTGAAACGTGGAGGCAAATGCCTCTCGAGTCTGTTGATGTATCCAGATTTTCTCCAAATGAATTTCTGGTGTCATGCGTACCTGTTTTGCCATCTTTCTTCAAGTCTGTTTCGTCATTTTTTTCTTCAGGTGGCTCTACCAGTTTGAAGGATGACCTAGTAACTTTCCGTTTCTTCACTTCTGAATTGTTTATTTTTGAAACATTCTCTTGATTCTCCAAACACCTTTTACGTTTTGACTGTGTAGTTGGGGGTTTCACGCTATTGTTATTTTTTTCTGTTGGGGGCTTGATGGATGTTGAAAATGAAAGACCAGGAATATCAGACAGTTTGTTAAGTATGGTTGCCAGTGTAGACTGATTAGCCAGCACACCTTTTAAGTATTCAACCTCAGAGGTCAAATTACTGACAGTCTCTTTCAGAGATTTACACTCACTTTTTAATTCCAAATTTTCTGTTTTTAATTTATTAACAGAATTTTCCAAATTTTTCACATACTCTTTCTTCTTTTGGCGATTTTCTCTTGCATTTATAGCATTTCTCGACATACAAGGTGCATATTCTCTGCTTGAATGGGTTCCTTTCTGAAATCGATCTTCAACGGTCACTGAAACAATTTCCATATTCTCCTCAGATATGTACCCCAATAACCCGGTATCTTGGGAAGTTTTAAGAGGAACTGCCATCGTACAGTTATTGTTTTCTGAATGACTATGATCAGGAAGTGTTACGAGACCATCAAAGAGGTCTAATTCGCTCATTTCACAAGGAGATCCCGCGGATAAGCTAGGGCTGGGATCTTCCTCCACAACGATTGCCTCTGTGTTACTGTCAAAAAACGAAAGGGGGCTGTTTGACAACATCTTGCTATTAAAAATGATTTGATGTATGAGAAATCGGTTGTGATTTGTTGATTTCTCGTACCAGACTCTCACCTTTATAAAAAATGCGGAATCCCAGCCATATCTTTGTTCGTTGAGTGTGCGTTTTGTCGAATTTCATGTGCGCATGCGTAAAAATATTCCTGGCGGAAGCGACCAGGATCAAGGGCAGATAATTAGTCAAAGAGTTGCAATATTCGATCTTTTTTTTCATCAATTGATGCAAATGGAAAATTATAGAATACAAATATTATAAAAATTATACAATACAAATGAAAAACCATACAATACAAATATTAAATTATCAATACAAATGGAAAATTATACAAAGCAAATAGAAAATTGTTGTAGGATACAAGTGGAAAATTAAATACATTACAAATGGAAAAGATAGAGTATTGCAACGTTTGACATGCCATAAACACATATACCCCCCTCATTCAAAATGTCATTAATTTACATAAAATACTGCGAATAGCTTGCCGTTAAATGTCAGACAATATTATAATTCATCGATACTCATAATTCATCTTCAGCGTTCAAAATTGAAGAATAAAAATCAATAAATAGATAAATAAATTAAAAATATAAAAAAGAAAGTCTCATTTACTTATTCTTAAGAAACTTTTAAATAACCATACCCAATTTTCTCTATTGCTTACAGTATAATCAAATTACATACATGTAGCTGCTACCTTATAATTTCAATAACTCTTAATATCATTGGGGGTCCAAACCTCCGCCCTTCCCCGGGGTAACAAAATACCTTGTTGATAATTGTGCAAACTTTTACTTCAAAAGAGTCATGAATAACCAGAAAACAAATCTAGATTTTTTAAGTCAAACAGGCATCTTGTTGCGAAATCTTTTCTTTAATTTTATTTTTACGTGCCTCAGACAAATGGTGTTGTATATTAACTTTCGGAAAATTACAAATATCAGAAGTGTAAACTTCTTATTTTATCCAAATAATCAATACTTTGAAATAATTGGTTGGGAACATCCTATTTTCCTCTTGTCTGGCCCACGAATGTGCTACTCTGTGATCACTTCATTTTTTTTCACGAAGTGGCTAGAATGGGGAGGGGGAGGCTTAGTTGGCTAGAATGGGGAAGGGTGGGCCAGGGAGTCTATATTTTTACTAGCTGAAGAACCGTATTGTGATGATAAGAGTTAGATATTATTTTTATACCACTCTTTTTATATATCTTAGACACGTGTTTCCAGTGTTTGGAGCAGTATATGTTACTCAGCGTTTCTCCAACCTATATATTTACGCCAGATTTTTCCAAATATATTTTCATATAATACATGAATTAAGCCATTAGTGTGTGAAGATGTGTTACTGTATATGTAAAATAAATTATTCAGTTACGTTATTTGTGGACTAAATTGAAAGGATATACAACTAATTCAAGTTAAACGAACAATTAAAATGTACAGAAGCAAAACGGATCATGGGAGGAAAACGGGCTACGCCGGAGCTGGATCTGCCTGTAAACATTGTTCAGAAAAATATTGGGCGACCTTAAAAAGGACCGAAGACCCTGGCATGAGAGAGATTATAAAAAGGAATAATGTTTGACACATTATTTATTGAGGGGGAGGAGGCATATGTACGCACTATGCTTAGTTTCCCATCCTTGTTTATAGATCTAAACCCTTGTTACAGTACAGAAGTAAACGTGGGAGATCACTCCAGGTATGTAACATATTTGAGATAGATGCAAGTACGCATGAAACAAAACCGCTGGATGTAAATTGTGATTATCACACAATATGAATTCGTGGTAAAATGCTCTCAATCGTTTCTTTCTTCTGACAATAGCATCTAATTAGTATTAATAGATAAATATTATCCATGTAAATATTGACAAAGTGGTACTGCGAAATCCCATAACAAATAAAAAAAATAATATTGGAAATTTGACTGTGTCACGGTGCTGCGTGATGAATGGATAGGTAACGATAGAAATCAGATTTTCATTTAATAGCATTATTGTAGTTCCAATGTCCAAACGTGTATTGCCCGAAAAGAGTAAAGAACGGAATATAAGTGCGCATAGTTTATTATATATTCACTTGTTTTATCGGCCTTGGAATATCAGCTTATTAGGAGAGTATGGCATCCACGTGTGTCTGTGTGTGTGTCCTGATATAACAGCAATGTATTGTCCCCTATCTTCCCCCAGAGCTCTAATGGAAATCTGTGTGACCATAACTGTGAATGGATATCCTGGGAAATGAATCGAAATGTAAATGTTTCCCTTAGGTTTTGTTTATTTTTCATTTAAATAACATCAAAGGCTTATTTGTTTCTACAAACAGTCCATTGCATAACCCTGAAACAAGGACTATCCTTTTAAATGTGATATACCCCTTGACTGGCCTCCTTTTGTACTCGTTGTCTTTTGATCAAAAGGAATTCTTTATTGGACCAGCACTTTAAATCCTTATCTTTTTATTCCTTCTTTAAATGTTTTTGTTTTATGATAATTGGTCGACGTAGAAATATCCACTTGTTTGTAAGCAACATTTTTTTCCAGATCAGTTTGTTTATTTCACGGTTCACATCGATCAAATTCGGAATGATACAATCCTGAATTCAAAGCGTAGAAGCAAGAGACAAGTTGAGAGCGTTCATGAATGATGACAGAACATGGAGTTCAAGATTTCTACGACTTCGTCGGTTATAGGAATCAACATTGTCATCGTAATGTTCGTTGGTCTCGTCGTTCTTTGTGTTCACAAGAAAAGCACCAAGGGTAAGATGTTTTATAATGAACATAGCTATAATTTTGATTTCTTATGGAAAATCATAGTGCCTTAATTACATCTAAAGTTAACCTATATTGCACTTTAAACGATATTGCCACTGTTAATCAAGACAATGTGCTGATCATGTATAGGGTCAAGAAAAGCTACTCACGTACGGTAGGGTTTATGACTATGGAAATTAGATTTTCTTATTATAGATAATTATTGGCAAATTTTGACTGTTAAAACTATTAATATACAAAAATGAAATGTCACATGGTATCAATGCAAGATGTATCAACCATGCCTTGTTATCAATCCATCGCATGATGTATCAATTCCCAATAAATTTTAAATGACTTTGTACAGCTATTTTGTAGGCTTTTTGTATTCTAATTGTAGTTGCTTCAGCTACTCGTGTTCGCAAAAGGCACCTTCGTGCTGGGGAAAATTACAATGGAAAACATCGAATCGCCAGTAACCGCAGCATCATATCCAGTGTCGTCAGTTCTAACGAGGATCTGACGTCATATTATGAAGTGTACCAAATCGTTGTTCCTACAATGGATTCTAAAACTTGTCATGTCGCAGAGCAAACAGAAGTTTTTATAAACGCTGAAAACCAAATCAAATTGTCTGATCAGTGATACAAAGGGAATTCATGGTTATCTCTCATGGTTGATGAAAACAGTATTTGAATCTGTTCAGTGACTCGTACATATGACGTTAACGTAATGGCAAAATGGAATTTTTTTTCATGACGAGAGGGGATTTTTGGTGTTGTGGATCTGTAATTAATGAAGCCAAACAAGGACTGAATCAAACACTTAAGACAAATCTGTACTTGTTTATCTTTGTGACTGGTAACATGTTTGACAGAAACTGTCTGTTTTTCTTGGAAGTTAACCTTTGTTATTGAAAGGCATCGCGTGATATTCAATAACTTTCTTTCAATTACCAATATCGCCATTTTTTTCATAAGCAAATCGATTTCTAAGGCCTCGAACGTACCAATTAGATCTATGCCAGTCTCCATTTGAGAGTGGCATTGCTTTGGTGCAGTTGCTTATAAAAATTCTGACTTTGGTCGATTGGTCAGAGTCAGTTCTCTTAACTATCTCTGCCGGGCTGGAAAAAAAATCCTATAGTGTTCATATTAGTTTGGAGAGAAACTATTAATTACAGTATTAATGCTGGATCTGTGATATATACTGTGTAAAGGAAGAAGGTGTGAACTACATGTATCTTAAACAATCATGCTGTGATTAAAACGTTTATCTCGAGACCCCCTCTCTTGTTGGCTTCTTTCATTTTATCATAAATAAATTCAATCTAGTGTTAATTAATATGCATGTAACGTCCGATCCTACTGTAATATGGTATGATCTGTGTAAGTATACGATCCACCGAAGAAGAGAGGAAAGGAGCGGCACCATTTCCATGGCCGATAAATATCTTTCCCGAGAGAGAGAGAGAGAGATTACATGTATAGAGTTTCAGTTGATATTGCTTCTTTTTCTATTTAAAAATTTGAAAAAATTTTGATTTTTTTTAATACATGTCAATAATAAAAATAATTTGTTTATCTTGTTAGTGAGACAGGAAGGGAGAAAATGGACCAGGATTAGAACCGGGGCCCCTGAACTCTAAACACGTTCTCTTTCAACTGAGTTATCTGGCCATCGGCGATTGAAGCTGTCAGATTGACCCGGGCCGGTTCTTTTCTGGACCTTTATCTATAATCCAGAGGTGGTCAACGTCACCAAATGTAACAGAGTAAGAAAATGTGACAGTCAGCTTTAATCACGAGTTGCCAGATAGTTCAGTTGATAGAACACCTGTTTTTTTGGGGAAGGTGGAGAGTGGGAGTGAATCCTGTTCTAATCCGAAACTATTGTCAGTTATCTCTTCCCTGTCTTTAAGACACTAAAGATTTAAATAGTTATACAAAATCTAGTCTTGAAAGTAAGAAGAGTTGTCTAACTTTAGTTAGAATTGACATTTATGCAAATATCAAAAGAATGTAACCAAGCACATACAAAACCAAAATAAATATATACGAAGCATCCTGATTCAGATTTTGGAAGTTTACTTTCAGTATTCACCTTGCTGAAGGGGGTCTGTTGTGTATTTCGGAATAAGTTTTAGATGAATCTGAATTCCAGGAAATAAGTTTATAACATCAACAGAATGGAAGCTCTGGTGAAGGCGGTGTTCTTTTTGACATATTTCATTTAATTAAAATAATAATACTATCCTTCAGCACTGACTCTTGCTGTCCATTGCAGTTTAATATAATTTACACATGCCATTCAACATAGAATTTTTATTTTTTTTTTTTAAATTATTATTACTATTATTATTATTGCTATTATTATTATTAATTTTTTTTTTAATACTATATTTTCCATAGATTATGTATCTGTTTATTCTACATGAGGCAGAAGTGGATTTCTGTATATCCTTTAGCACCGTCTCTTGCTGCCTCTTGTTGATGTATCAGACATTTTTTATGTGTTCAGTTATATGTATAATATTAGTAATAGTAATGCACATCATTGCACATTAAGTTGTATCAATTAAGAGTACAGATATATCTTAAATCAAGACAACCTATGTCTACATATGACACTCAAAACACCACCAATGCACTAAATGGAAGAATTGCTCTTCATTATATGTTGTATTCTGTCTGTTATCCTATCTGTAATTATACATGTTATATGTTTATGCCCATTGGGCCCTGATTTGGTAATAAATCCTATTCAATTCTATTCTAAAGTCTGCAACTTGACTATTTTAACACGACAAATTTTATTTGATAAAATGAAATACATGTATGTCAGAAAGGATAGCAGTTCGTCTTGATTTTTCATTGAATAATTAATACTGATGTTGCAAATGAGTTTTCAACAAGAGTGACAAATACAAAACTGTGGAGAGACGGAAATAAACTTATTTAATGTAGTAATAATGGTTCAATGCTGTTGATGATTACCAGAAGTCATCAGTTAAATTTAATGTAATGTCATTTGAAATACACTTTTATCACATGTAGTATATAGAATCCTTCAATGTAAAACAATATTGCGACAAGTATAATATTTTTTACTTAATTTTGACAAGACCAATTACGCAATACCCCCCCCCCCCCCCCACACACACACACAGAGATTTGAATTTTAGTTGATGTTGCTTTTTTTTCTTTTTCTATTTGGAAATTTGAAACGCAGAACAAACTGCATCCTTGTAATCGAAAACCCTTTCACAACGAACAAAATACTTTTATTTCTATCTTCACTATTGTGTACGAAAGCCCATTAGGATCAAACTACGGTAAAAAAAAATTAACGAGGTTGGATCCTGATATTTAAAGTCTTAAACTTTTTTTGTCAAGTATATTTTTAGTTTCTACACATATAGCTTAATTAAAAATCAAAACAAAAAATGGGGGTCAATATTCTTCTTTTGGCACTACAGTACATTTAATATGACCTTTTTGCACTGAAATTTGTGTCTTAATCAAAAATCACATCTTCGACGTTTTCCCTCCAAAGTTTTTATCCAAATAAATCATGGGACAAAATAAACTATTAGTCTATTTAAAAAAAGACACATTAAAATTGTGAATAAGAAAAAGTTTCAAATTGCTTCGCATAATCAATTATTTGACCTTTCTGCACTCACAAAATGTGATTTTTCTGGCATTAAAAATTTAACAAGCAAGAAAATTATTTTAAAGTCTTAAACTTTTGCTGAATTTAAGCAGATTGATCAAATTTATCTTATATATTCAGAAAAGAAAAACAAGAGTGGGGGTCTATGATCTAAATTTTTTAGATATTACTAAAAAAAAGTGTTAATTTTATGTTAAAATTGGCTCAATTTTTTCCTGGTCTTTCAGAATATATTAACTATATTTGTCACAGTATAATGAAAGAATTCATAAGAAATAATTTAATAGATATTTCAGAACCAGCATAAAACATTTCACTGCAAAAAACAGCTCTGTTTGCAACCAGCATGGAAAAATAGGAATCTAAACTTAACAGTACTGTATATATTTAAAAGGGAAGAATTGATCATTTTCTTCTAAAAAAAAAACTTCCGCCACAAAATATAGTTCCTTTCTTAATCCTACTTGAATGGAATTTAATCGCGGTTTTTTTCATTGGATAAAGTTTAATTTGCATTGTAGAATCCAGATTTAATGTTAGAACTTAAAAATGATGCAGGATTTTCGAAATAAAGCTCCAGACCAAAATCTGCTCAAAAGCTCAGGATCGAACCTCCTTAAAAGGCGTCATAACGCCTTTTTAAAAGGCGTTATAACTCGAAAAAAGGCGTAATAACGCCTTTTGGAAAGGCGTAATAACGCCTTTTAGAAAGGCGTTATAACGCCTTTTGGAAAGGCGTAATAACGCCTTTTAGAAAGGCGTTATAACGCCTTTTGGAAAGGCGTAATAACGCCTTTTATAAAGGCGTTTTAACGCCTTTTAGAAAGGCGTAATAACGCCTTTTGGAAAGGCGTAATAACGCCTTTTGGAAAGGCGTAATAACGCCTTTTTTCGCGTTATAACTCCTTTTGGAAAGGCGTAATTACGCCTTTATTTGCGTTATTACGCCTTTTTTCGCGTTATAACGCCTTTTCAAAAGGCGTTATAGGACCGTTCACGGTAGCTCAGTCGGTAGAGCGCTCGCTCCGTGATCGGGAGGTCGTGAGTTCGAATCTCGGCCGCGACAGACCTAAGTCGATAAAAAATAGGTAGCAACTGTTCCTTCGCCATGCGCTCGGCACTTTGGAGTGAAAGTTGCGGGTCTTTCGGATGAGACCTTAAAAACCGAGGCCCCGTGTCACGGCAGGCGTTGGCACGATAAAGATCCCTCACTGCTCAATGGCCCTGAGTGCCGAGTAAAGGTCAAAATTTGAAGCCCTTCACTGGTATATGGTGACGTCTCTATATGAGTGAAAAATTCTCGAATGGGACGTAAAACAATATACAATCAATCAATCAAAAGGCGTTATAATGCCTTTTAAATTTTTTTTTTTACCGTAGTTTGATCCTAATAGGCTTTCGTAATTGTGGGCATTCGTATACATTGTAATTATTCATCTTGGAAATTTTAGTTATTGCAAATTCAAATCTGATATTTTTGGTACGTTTTACATAGAAACAACAAAATTGTGAATGACCAGCTGCAGATTGCTATGAACGCTGCATGCGTGTACGTATAGTCTCAATTAGGGGCGAAGTTGAGTTGTCTAACTTAATTCAGTACGAATTTGACATTAATACAAATATCAAAAGAATACAACCAAGAACATACAAAACCTGTATGAAAAAATGTGGAAATTCTGAAAGTAACAATGCTGTACCTGGTTGGATGAAAACAATTACGTATAAGCTGCAATCTCGATAAAGACACAATCAGATATAAAGACTCTGGTGATAGTACATGTATGTGTCATCCTGATTGTTCATCGAACATTGATTCTGATTTTTCGTATGAGTTTTCCACAAAATCGACTACTTCAAAACCGTGGAGAGGTGGAAATAAACTAACTTCATAGTCTAATATAAAAGAATAAATAATGCTGATTTTCGACGAACTACTGAGTTTGTGAATGAGTATCTGACAAAAAGCGACAACTGCAAAACATCGAAAAGAAATAAACTGTCCTGAACGTTTAATAGACTCAGCATTGTGACCCTTTTAACCAATTAGTCTACAGACTTTGTATAGAGTAAATAAATATTATTTCAGCAAACAACTGATTCGACAGTTTAATTTCTACAGAAGAGACAACTGCAAACCCAAACTTCTTCGATAGAAAATTTCTACAATAACATTGTTGTTATTCATTTTGCATTGAATTGATGTATGTACTCATTAGTACCGAAGTCAAGGTTTGGGAATAGTTAGTGTGTAGATGGATCAATGAATGTAAACTAGTTAGGATATGCAGTCCTAAATTGTAGTGTTGCTGAAAGGCCCGTAAGAAGCAATATCATTTTTTTAGGGGGGG